ATTGTTTTCAAAATTCATACTTCGGCTTCCTTAGGTCCAACGTTATTCAGATTGAAGTTTGTAACTGGAGGTAAATACGTTGGTAACTACCAAAGTGTAAAAACTGTAGAAAAAAGTGGCAACATATCTCTTAAATTTGCTTGTTGAATTATTGTCGTTCTTTTTTTGTGTTGGATGGAGAGGTGTACCACTACCATGGAAAAATGATCGACAAAGGAAAGATATCTGGAGGTCATTTCTGTGGCACCAAGATTACGTGTAAAATATATTCATTGTTCTGTTTTGCAAAGCTCTCTTCAAATTAGCTTTTTTATCAATGCAAATAATTGCACATGTATACTACCACCGCAGCTTTTAAATGTGTGTATATCCTTTTTCAGATACTGGTATAGAATTACTGGTTTGTTTCCCGATATGTTGACGGTGTTTGGGGCTATTAACAAATGTTTCAAATCAAAAGGATGCTTGCAGGTATAACATTACAGTAAATGTTAAATGTTCAAAGGATGAAATATTTTGTAATTGCATGCCATTACGAAATTGCGTCACAAAGAACGCTAACTGGACAATTGAACATGTTTGTGGCGCTATGGTCTGTTTCAAAGGTTTATTATATAAGCTGTTGCCATAGCAAGAACTATCTTTACAATTAAAATAACTGCTACCTCTTTCAAATATGTTTGCTAATATCATGTGTTTCATGTATAGATACTGCCTGGATCTCACAAGTGCACAGAAACACACCTGTAGTACAACGAAATGTTTAAATATTTGAAATGCACAATAAATATGTCGAGTAAGGAAATGTACGCCATACTGTTATCCTGCTAGTAAAAGATTGAACACTTAAAAAGTCAATATACTCATAGTCATAAGCCTGGAATCAAATGCTACTTGAGTGATTTTAATAACTATTGCTATTAAATAATCTTAAGAATGCAACATCAAGTAATAGTGAGTATTCTGATCCAATGTTATTATAATACCATTTACTAGAAGACTCTGAACTGCAAAATATTGAGTATAATTTCTTTGAAAACAAACTGAATTATACTTAAGGGGATTTACAAGGTTATCGCATATACAAACAGTTATCAAATATGACACATAAAAGACTAATTGTCACATCTAAAAGATACTTTGTTTCTTCAGGTGAAGCACTCTTTTTCACTGTAACATGCTGCATAGCAGTTCTGCTAAGATGGACTTATCTCATGGCGTACAACACGAAGGCGAATAATCCAGCACTTCCTCATCATCATCCACAGTACAAGTGGTAGGATGGCCTAAACCAACAATTTCTCCAACAAATATTCTATATAAACACACCTAGAAGGCAATATGCCTCAAATCAAAAGATATCAATTGCTTTGTTAACGAATGTTCTCTATAACCCAAACTAAAAGGCAGTATGCTGTTCGGTAATCAGTGATCTATCCATTACCTTCCTTACGATTTCCCATTTGAACCAATATGACATACTGCAATAGGTCAACGGGACATCGCTGCCTTTACAAAGCATCACCTATAATCCCAATGATCACTGTACACATTGATTTCTAGACACATTCCATCTGAATGATAATTGCGACCTTTAACAACTGACCAATGATTTCGCAACAGAATTTTAAAACATGTAAACTAATCTAAAGGTTCGCCTAGAGTACAGAGAACTCTCATTCTATAAATATCAAATACATCAATTAGAACGGAATTAGAAATATTCACTTATATTTATTGTTGATAACGTGGTTTCGCACATTACTTATTTGTAAATGATTAATTAACATATGTACAATCTATAAATGTAAATTTTGAAATTGTACTATATTAATCTTACTTAAGGAATGTGAATATATGACACATCGTATCATTGTTTATTGACCCCTACAAATTAATGATATATTGATTATTACCATGCAGATTCCAGACAGTGCTATCTCGGAATGTACCAACTTTAATGACTTCATTGGACATGTCTAAAACATCAACGAGTACAATCCTGACTGAACAAAAAAAAAAAAAAAAAAACGATAATCGCTGTTTTACTCGAGCTCTTCTGGATATTCAATACTTCACTATCAAGTTTTAAGTCATACCTCATTTTTAGTATGGATCTCGATTTTTTATTTTAATTAATTTCTTTTTTGTACATTATTGAAATCATGTAAGCCTGAAAATTTCTTATATATAAACTGGATAAAGACAGATCAAAGTCAGGTAGAAATCACTTTCTATAGGCGATATCAGAATAGAGCGTTATATGGTATTTTAAATCGTATTTACTTGTTCCAGTCTGGTAATCATTATGTATTTAATTCATACTAAGAATAATGTTGGAAAAATTATTAAAATTTGATTCACCTTTTTAAACGTATTTTGCAAACCCTTTTTTTCAGCATGAAAGAGATGCTTCATATTTTAAATTGTCTTCATAAACCTATTTTCATATCATGGAATATGAATGATTTTAAACAAAAGATTACAAAGAACCGACTTTGAACTGTAACATTACTGTGATCAAAGCAACAGTCTCATCGCTCTTTCTTTCGTATTTTGTGCGATCTAATTTTCAATGGACATTTAAAGGTAAAAATGTCTGCGATATTGAGCTATGATAAGATTATATGAGTGTCCCCTTTTGTAAACAATATTACAGCATATACACATAGATTGTCTCCGTATATTCTCATACAGACATATTCATATCACAGGGTTTCAAGTGATCCATGTTGATGGAGATTATTAGAAAGTTTCATGGTTGTCATCATGGCCTCAATGGAAATACATTTTAGCCTTACTTTCGAGGGGAGAATGTTTCATAATTTCGAGGGTAAGCATCTTGGATATTTCAGAAAATGCTTGCGTTTGAAAGGCTTAGACGTCATAAAATCTTGTTTAATCATAAGTTCTTGATTGATGAATCAATAATCACGTATTTAAAGCACAAATTCTGAAAGTAATACTCGCAAAAATAAATTTCTTCTCTACTTTAGATCATGAAAATCAAATCAATTAGAATCTATTATTTTCCTATTTTAAATCTTAAAATTGTCAACAAATTGGAACTACGCAAATATCTCGCTGTACGGTAGAGTTAACCATCGATAATTCCGTTATCTTCGCTCTTGGCTAAATCGTCAAGTTTACGCAAACAAATTTCTCGGACCGCCGAACTGAGTTACCTCCCTTGATTGCATACAAGTAAAATTGTAAGCCTAATGCTGCTAGTTGTTCTTAAAATGGTCATAAAATACATCAGTATTTCCTGTTAATACATGTATTTATAAATTTCTAATTAGTTTGATACACTTATTTAAGTTTGGTAATGCCAATAGATTAGAAGTTCTTACAATAACCAGAAGTAGTGTGACATTTCGATGACTACACGGTCACCTTCATCAGATAAATGACTAGTGTATTCCTATCTTGAAATCACTTTCGTCAATAATCTGTTTACCATCTCGTCACACTATTTTCCATCTTAGTGTACATAGGGTTATAGTGAAGCCAAAACGTTAGTCGATTCCGTGCCATTTCGTATACTAGGTACAGCAGTGCTAGTCCGCTTCACACTGGACATAATCTGATTAAGGTGACCGTGTAGTCATCGAAACGTCACTATGTTATTTTCTTCTGGTTGTTTGTAGAGAACTTCTATTCTGTTTAGTTATGTTTTAATTCACGTTCCAATTTCGGAAATGATTATTTATACATTGAAATTTCCTAAATGAATGGTTTTTTTTTTCATTGAAGTCCAATTTCGTAGACGATTAATTGAATGCATGCTCGATATCAACAATTATGTATTCTATTACTGTGTTTGATGCTCGTTTGCATACCTGTTGATTCCGGTGTAGTTTATTGTGTTCTCATTTGAGAATGTGGTTCTTACTTAGATAGACGAGGGTTTTCACGGCGGGTGTTTTAGATAAGGTGAAAGCGTTTATTCTTCCTGAACACATTGTCGTATTCTTCTTGTTTTTATCATTTTTATTTCTTTTGTTCATGTTTTGCTTTGATTTCATCGAAATTGAGTTTGAATGAAGATTCTGGCATTATTTCTGTATTCGTTTTTTATCAAGGATGTTAATCAGGCAGATATAAAAGTTACTAAGTTACCAATGTATTATGCATAACCAATTGCTAAAATGAGGTCAGATGGTTGACGATTCAATGATCATGTTTATCTCTGGATCTGCCAATACGTTATTCTGTTTGAAGATGAGTTATTACACATAGATCAATATTTACATTACAACAACACTTGTTCACACGGTCAATTAAATTAGCAACATTTTTGTAAGGTACAAGGTTGCTAGAAAGAACAAGGTATTTCTGATATATCTCTCGACAAGGAAGTAACACAAAGTTACGAGATTGTATACCCGTAGTGATTTTTGTTTGATGTCATTGTGACATCCTGTTTCGTTACCCATAAGCGGTTGGATTTTCAATTTATAAGATAACTACCAGAAAAAATGCACAGTAAAGACTCTGCCAAACAATACAAATATATATAAAGAGAGAGAGAGACGTTGGTAATGTACTCACTAAAATCTATGTAAGTAAACAGGAGGATTTATCAAAAGTAGCAGCTTAATCGTGACTTTTGGACATAACAACATGATCACAAGGGACAGTTTTACAGAAGATAAATAGTGTTTTATTTGTTCTTCGTGTTTTTTTTTTATCTTAAGCCATTACTAGAACATTACTTCTTTTGAAACCTAATGCGTTTGATGTCACTGTTGATTTGACATCATATGATTTTACATACAAAGCCAATTTCCTGGAAACAAATCGACATTTTTTGACATCTAAAGAGCGGATAAGCAGGACATTGACAGCTCAAAAATATATTGTAAGTTATATGTTCTTGTCTACTTACATTTTGTCTTTTTCTTTTGTCATCTGGGGTCAAGATACATGAGTTAATTGAGTGATTATAAAATAAAAACATGTCAGCTGTAGACATCATCATGAAAAAAAAACATGTGTCACTTGGTTCTTTTAACTTGGTTCTCAACAAATGAAATTCGGGTTGTTTTAGACGAGCCGACTTCCATGAAATCTTTGTCAGTGAAGTCACTGTAATTTGTACATTCCGCCACAGCACTGTTAGGAACCTGAAAATAAATATATTATAAGTTTTTTTTTTTTTTATTTCAAGTTTAATGAATGTGCTCCAATATTTGCATTTATGTATTGATATTGATAAGAGCAGTCTGCAAGAGCTTTTAGAAGAACATGGCTCACTAGAACAAATGAAATGAATTGTAATTAGAGGTCAAATTTCGCGATCGTTTTGAACAGAGTGGTTTACAGTTACCTTTTGGATAGGTGAATATTGGGCATGATGGTGGGGAACTATTGGGTTGTTGACCTTGGTGTTGTAAGCTATCAAGTAGGCCCACCTCCTGTCAGGACTCTCGTTAGCGGAACTACAGTGAAGCAGGTTACAGTGGAAGAACAAAGCATCACCTTTGAAAGACACATTATATGAACGAAAATGACAATTATTTACTTCATATTCACTTTTCCGTATTCATTAACAAAATTGCATGTTTGTTTTTAATATCTGCATGACGTTTCCATATTTCCACATAGGTATTCACAATTTCTCAATCTTTTAGATAAATTACCAAATGAAATACATTGTTTATTAAAAGAGATGTCAACTTTTGTCTGCACTATCACGCTCAGTTATGAGGTAGCTAGTAATTAACTAGTATTGTTACAATTAACATCATACCTGCGTCCATCTCCACAAAAGCAGGCGGACACCTTTTCTTTATGGCTTCAACGCGGTCCACATTGGCCGCGGTTTGACCTGTGTTCATGTCGTGATCTATCCTGCCGCATTTATGAGAACCAGGTAATATCTGCAGATATACAAAATCATAATATTAGTGAATGACTTGTTCAACACTTCATATGATAGCTTGCATGTTCATATTCAATTGTCAGGATTATATCAGTTTCGACCACTAGATCACAGCAACGATTAAAAAATAACAGGCCGATTCGCCTCCTTTATCATGCCCATACCTGCAAGCATCCGTTTGATTTAGTGCATTTATCAATTGGCACGAAAACCGTCAACATGTCGGGAAACAAACAAGTATTTTTATACCAATATCTGAAAGAAATATTGAACATTATCAAGAATATTTTTAAACATCAGAAAACGTACATAAACAGCTACATTAAAAGAATTAAAATCATAATTGCCTACTCATAATAGAAAATATAACAAAAGATTAGAGTATGTAAAACACAAAGAAACAAATGTGTTTATTCAAGTTCAACACTGGTATTGTTTGTCATCTTATTGCAATGTAGGTCATTGATATAATAAACCTTAATAAAAAAGTATTGAATTCTCTAGAAAATATAATTTGCCGTATATTTATCACCGATTGATTGGTATTTCATAAAGAAATTAATTGGGTTTACCCGTAATCCTGGTGCCACAAGAACGACCCTCCTGAAAAAGGATCCTTATAAGTTAGATTTCCATGGTAGTGGTAGACCTCTCCTCTCAACAACTGGTCTTGCGCATAGAATTAGAATTATTGTAAGTACTTCCTTATAAGGAGACACTACAAGTTTTATAATGTTTTCAATCTGAAGCGAAACCTCAGGAAATTTTAGGTAATTTACATTTTGTCAAAGAAAAGGTAAGAATATTTACTTTAATCCTGTTTCAGAAAGTTGAACAAATCTGAATATCTATTTAAAACTGTTTGATTGAACTGATGACACTTTGTACTACTTTGATCTGTACTGATTATTGTTGTTAATTTTTAATCATTATAAGTTATTTTAGCAAAGTAATTTATAAAGAAATTTAGTTTCGAAATACGAAGGAAGGCGATCACATGTTGGTTTACTTATGGTCAGCAGTCTTTGTTGATCTACAGTTCATGTAACATGTAGTTAATTATCTAAATACTAGTGCATAGGTCAGCATACATGTAGATAGGGCCATAGGTCAGCATAGACAGGGCCATAGGTCAGCATAAATAGGACCATGTGAATTGTTTAATCGGTGTGGCGGTGCTCATCTCTGTACCGGTGTCTTATGTCAATGATGTATCACTTGTTTGTTCCATCATATCTAATATCTAGCTAAATATGGTCTGCCCATCTGAGCTCTATCTGTTATTAAGTATGAAAGAGTCCTACAATGAGTACAGTTGTCCTTCCTCATACGTACCCCAATATGTATACACTTATCAAACCACTGATACACGGAAACTGGATTGAACTTTATCATTACTACTACCTTATTATTACTACAAGACGACACGGAAGATTACCCTTCATTTTATCGTTATACGATTACATTTTCCGTTAATACAACCTACATTTGTTTCATGTATGGTTTGAGCAACAATGTAACGACGCAGCCTACCTTGCTTTAAAGAAAATGTTTGGTCTAAAAACAAAACAAAACAAAACAAAACAAAAACAAAAACAAACAAAAAAATCGAGAACATAATCATAATCCAAATTCCATAAAACCAGACCAAATACAGACAAAAGAAAAATGTACATGAAGACTGATGAATACGTACAAAGAGAATAAATACCAGGTGTTCAGGAAGAGTAAGCGTCTTCTGCTTCATCGACGACACCCACAATGTAAACCTTGGTATATACGAAGGTCACGTTCTCAAACAATAACAAGCTATACGACAACAGAATCAACAGGCAAACTAACGAGCATCAAATACGCCCAGATTCATGTTACACAAAGAAATAGAATATTTCTCACTATGGTGACTATAAATCTCCCCCATAATGTTTTATCAACCTCCATGTTTTGAAACTCTGTGTTACGAGTTTGAAGACTTGCACAAGAATCGTGATAATGAGAGCAGGCCCTCGAATATCTAATTAGCTGTGACACGTAAATACCATTGGTTGGATATGCAGGGATAATACTATCCGGACATGGAAAATTAACAAAAGAGAATTTAGTGGCAAACTGTCCATGTTGGTTTTCTTTTCATTGAGATATAAAACTAATGAAGAAGAGTCTGTCGTGCCTTTGATTTCCAATTCTATTTTTTTAAGATATCGTACGAACGTTATTGATTATAATGATTTCGGGACACGGCCAGCCGACCTCAACCCAATGATGTTAAGTTTGAGAAGGCAAACTTACGTCTTCAGAAGTATTTACGACTTTTTCACATCGTGCCATCATTCCAGATATGTCATTTCCAGGACTATTCCAGACTACTAGTTTTGTTATTTTGCCAGATCCGTCATTTACCTAGTAACATATTCATGTAAAAATAAATACTACTAATATCAATATTAACAAAACTAAAAAATGAAACCTATTGTTGTACGAGCGGGATTAGTATAGGTGTGTACCGACCGATAAACAACCAGAGCGACAGTTAAGACAACCGTTTAGATCTAAAAGCACTGATCCCAGTCTGGTCTATTTTCACTTCCCTTCTCATGGTTCAACTCAATGCTACATTTGACTTCCTAAAACTTCACTTGTAACCTCTAACTTTGGCATTTAGCTTATAAATGCTTCAATGTAATCCATCAGCAGTCGACATCTTTTACAATCATATTTGAATTTATCTCCTAAATGTCAAACTCTCAAAGGAGTCCCAGAGACTTGGAAGACTTCTTTTAACTCTTTTTATTTTAGAATAGACATAAGCTAAGATTCTAATATCAATTTACGATCATACTGACCAGTCATATTAGATAAGAGATTAACATGCCAACTAGTATTGATATATCATAGAGTTACATGTAAGTACCTCAGCTTACAATAAAAGTAAGAAAACTTCCATATTTTTGCAATTTTGAAAGGGTCGCTAAATTCTCAAAATTTAGATACCTGCCAAAACTTCCGATATGTTATGCCATATAAGTGTAAACGTTGATGAATACACTGTAGGATACTTACTCCCCATCCATGTTCTTTTATGAGGTTTGTTTCCTCGAACACCTTTCTCACTTTAGCCATCTCATGACTATCAAACAATCCTCTGTAGGAACCATATTAAAAATTTGTAGACATGCAATAACTAACAATGAATTTTGAATACAAAACATGATGATAAACATTCAATATTTGTGCATTTCTATGAAAATCGATTATCAAAATTACTATAACACTATTATTTTTCATTTCATAACTTGGAATAGAGAGTGATTTCGTACCGAACTAAGATGTATCCTAGATCGTCGAAGCACTTCTTCATGTCGTCCGTCACACGGAATTCCTCGGATGCGTACTTATAAACTTAAGTAGAACATAACTTGATTAATTTCAAAAGTAGAAGTATAAACCATTTTAAGGGAAAGAGGAAGAAAGTTAATGACAAGTAGTTTAGACGTCCTGATCTCAATATGTTTATAGTGTTGTCATGGTTTTATCTGGCATTGATGAAATTGAAAACATCTATATTTCATTACTTATTTTTCTTCAACTTATTTAAGCGAAGGAACAGTATCCAGTCCTACTTCTGGATGATCAGTTCATTATGACATGTTAACCTATAGCTATGCAGTTTTGTATAGTTTTCAATAACTGTAAATCTACCAGCGGACTTTGCAATTGATCAGAACTACGTCATGTTGGATCCTTATTGTGTATAAATATCAAGTTATTGTATCGTTGATGATATTAAAGATTATAAAGAATGCAAAATATTAAAAAAACATTGTTCTATGAAATGATCTTAGTGACACGATACTCGTCAACCATGGAAAACCAGACTCGAACACAACAAACTAAATGGATCCCCCCCAACCACCACCACCACCACCACCACCACCACCAACACACTCCGGATGGTATTTCATGAATCTCAACACTTAACAACACCGGGTAGATAATAGGTAAGACGCTTCATAACACCTTGACCCTGGACTTATCAGCATGTTACATAGATACTGTACCTCCAGATAATGTCGCCATGTTTTTCTTAAAACGCAGTCCTGCTGAACAGAAAAAAAGTTATACCAGTATCATTCACAGCTCATGTACAAATACATCATGTAACTGATCTGCCTTCAATCATGTTGACAATGTTTGGGTTTAATTATAATCTGTAAATAAATATGAACATCTGAATAATTACCAACTGCAACTTTAATAGTACAAATACTTTTCTTAACCAACGAGTTTTTGACAGATGATTAAAGTCCTAGCAGTAGGACAGCTGTTCACTTTGTTATTAATGATCAAAGCGAAATCTCCTTTCAATAAATAGATATACTAGTGATTCTATCGCTTACCTTGTAAACCAGCTTTCATCAATTCATGATATCTTGTTATGATGACTGTCACGAAGCAGATAAAATAAAGGACTGTCCCGATATAAACAAGATGTACAGTAGAGTATACACCGATCTCATCCTATATGCTGAACTGGGGCTGCTTTTAACGTACATAATGTGTGACGTTTCTTTTTATTTAAGTACTAATTAATCATTCCGATGGTTTATCTATCATAAACGACAAGGAAGGAAATGATAGACATTTCCCGAGTGTTGACAATAAATAGATAATTACTAATGATTAAAAAATATTTAAATTTTTTTCTGTTTTCATTTTTTGCATATGTTGACCACGCAGTTCAGAAACCTCTCACACTAATATTTACATGGGATTTCAACTGTTATACAGCGTCGCCATTATATAATGTTTTGAGTTGTCACAAACTTGTTTTAATGTTGCCTCACATGATTCTATCAGTTTATAACACCGATTACATTGCGGTATGAGTTTTTATGTGTACGATGCTCGTTAGCTTCCAAGGTTGTCCCGTTGTTGTTAGCTTTGTTTTGATTTCCGAACTTTACATTATTTACTTGGATTGATGGCACGACCAGGAAATACTTATCCTTCCGGAACACCTATTCTTATTCTCATTCTGCTTCGATGTTCATATCTTGCAATCATTTAATGTTTTTGTGTTGACATCATCAACGATTACACATGATGATGATGATGATGATGATGATGATGATGATGATGATGATGATGATGATGGTGATGTATGCTTCAATAGCAAAGATGATAAATATTTATGTTGGTGACCATAACACTCACCATGCATACCTATATGTTGATTAAAACTAATAGTATACAATCTTTAGTTCGCATTCCATCCATATGAAACTGATTAACATGCATGGGCACAAATGTTAAACCACCGTGTACCGTAATTATTAGAAATTAGTGTGACAGTGTCAGTATCTAACTGACTAGGTAGATAGCATGCTTATTCGGTGTCTTAAAAATATATAATACTTTGGATTATGTAATCTACAATGTTAATGTATATGAAAACAACACACTTTGGCTAAATGGACAAAGGGTACAAGATTAAAATCATTGATGACGAGAAAGTAATGATAATATTTTAGCATATAACTGTCACATCCCAGTAAAATATTTCAGCTTAAACACTGGGAATGGAGAATTTGTAATCAATATCTAAACATTACTAGACTGAACTCTATTATATCTAATTCCAAATTTGTATTGTTTTTCACTTGTGCGTATATTGTGATCATACAGAACAGTGGCGATACATCCTCAAAAATGGAACTAAAACTGAAGGATTTTTTCGTTTTATTGTCTTTAAAAGTAGTACAAACTGACTGTGAGTCAAATAACAACTGCTGAAGACATCGATATCGTATCATTAGTGATGTTAACGATTTTCTGTGATGGAAGTTGGTTTGTTTTTACTAACCAAGGATTTTTCATATACAGTTAAAAAGTTATATATGTCACAACGGTTTGTCTATTTTTCAAACTTTGCCTGTGTCTTGACGAGAGCGTTCTTAGGCGATTCCATGTCAGTGGGATCAAAGAAATCCTTTCCAGTGAAATCACTGTAATTGTTGCATTCTCTTACTGCACTGTCCGGCACCTGTGAATAGTAATTGCTGACGATAAACATAAAGCACCTGCCTGTACATGGCAAACTATCAAGAGATCTTGTTGAAAAACCTATTGCAAATCGGGTGTGAATGAAGGAATTGATTTCACTGAGAAACTCATCAGCTGATACGATGTGTTATTAAACAGTATGAATTAAAGGTTGCCGAGCGGAATCCCACTGCTTTAAAACGTGAATATATTCACAATATAAAAACAGTTTACATTTGCCAATTACTAACACGCTGTCATGGCCTTTACAACCGATTTGTTTTTTTTCTTTTCAAACGTTTCTATGGTGACATTTTTCAGCCATTCGGTCATTTTAAGGTCAAGTTGTGATATTTCGAAAACATAAATGTGTGTGAACTTGTCGACTTATCAGGACAAGTCAAGTTTAATCATTTGCTTATTATCTATGATTAATTCATTTGTACTAGTGTAACGGACGATTCAGCTGTATCATCATACTGAATTCGTTATTTCGCTATAATGTATCTTGTTCTTACTTTAGATATATCGAAAGGTGATATCATTTTTACAACAAAAATATCGTAGTTCGCACGGATGAATTGGAAGAGATGAAGGAATGAAGCGTATGATGTATCTGTACACGTATTGAAGCGGTGTTCTAATATTTGACCTTTTAATGTTCAAGTCATTGTGCTGATTTAAGTGCAATGCCAAAATTTCTCCATCCTATCATCGGGTTAACTAACCAACGTTCACCAGAGAATGAAAACGTAAAATGATGACCGACTTACATGGCAACATTTGTCCTTTTACATTTTTATTTACCTCGAATTAAGTTTTCCTGAATTAATATCATGTGTATTGCAACACAGCACACGCCCTTTTACAGACCCAAGTCCCCTGAATGCCTTACGGGAAGCTAACCTGTACTGTCATAACCAAACTAGCAAGTGGGAATGAGGTTATCGACGGGGCGTAAAACTTACTCTTGTCGTCTTCGCCAAATTACAATATTTCGTTTATAAGTCTACCCCCAAGAACTCTAAAATAAGAGCCTGCTAAATGAAATACACTTACAACATATAAGAGATGGGATATATTGCTACGGTCGCGAACTCGACTGTTTTGTATGTTCTATAGGCTAGAGATTTACTTAATGACATTACCTTTTGTAGAGGCGAGTACTGGGCATGATGGTGAGGCACTAATGCGTTGTTTGCCCTAGTGTTGTATGCAATAAGATAAGCCCACCTCCTATCAGGACTCTCATTACCAGAACTTGAGTGCAACAGGTTACTGTGGAAGAATAAGGCGTCTCCTGCAATATGTCCAACCAGCAGTACTTAGTTTTATACTCTTTTTTAAAACTAAAGTAAATAAAAGTAATAAAGTACATGGATGACAAAAGGTTAAATAAATCACACCTATGAAGTTATCGGAAGGCGTAGTTAACTATTCAAACGCCAGGTTAGATGAATATCGGCCTTCGAAACACCAGTCACATACGAATGAACATGTCACTCACGAGACTTAACTACATGTCATTATTGATTGATTGCAGATTATTACACTATATGCACGGTAACTACAATAACATAAATATTAAATTATTTACCTTGGTCCATCTCAACATAAGCCTTGGGGCAGACCTTCTCGATAGCAGACACACGCTCATGATCGGCTGCAGTCTGACCGTGTGTCGCATCATGGACAATGCGACCACATCTGTTAGAGCCGGGCAGTATCTACCAACAACGCATTTCAGTTAGAAAATGCACTATTTACTGTACAGTTCATCTCTCAATTTGGTTCCATGAAACTAGTGTTTTTTTCCAATAACCTGGATTGGCAGCAAATATTAATGGTAACAATATTTCTGCAGCCACTTCAACCGCTTGTACATGTTTGACTTTGAAAATGCAACAAGTGTCATATATAGATAGCCTTCACACGACCAGATTAAAACCGTTGAAAATTCACGTGAATATTACCTGCAAACAGCCATTGGATTGGGAACATTTATCGATGGCTATGAATACCGTCATCATGTCAGGAAACAAACAGCTATTGTGGTACCAATACCTTGATAGAGCGGGATATATAACCAGTAATGTAATAAAAAGAGGAAGTCTTAAAAACAGGAAGTCTAAAAAAGAAAAAGTACAAGGAAAAAGAAAACTGTCTATCCATAATTCCAATGTAGAATTTTCATGCACATTGCTTTCTTATTTTAATGGAAACAGCGTCATCTCAATAAAAAGCTTACACTTTGTTTACTATTTGGAGTCCACTGACATAAAACATCAAGAAAATACCAATAAGGCGACAAAATCATAATTCAAACTCAAATTCCATAAAACCCGGGCAAAATAAGAACAAAAGAAAGTTTACACGGAGACTCCTGAAAAGATACAAGGAGAATAAGAGCTTGTGTTCTGAAACAGTAAGCGTCTTCTGCTTCATCGACGACATCCGCCATGTAAACCTTGGTCAATCCAAGTAAGTAAGGTCACGTTCTCAAATAAGACCAAATTAGATAAAGTAAATAAATAAATCTTTACCCGTAGTCCTGATGCCAGAGAAAAGAACCGCCAGTGAAGGGTTTCTTGTACATCAGTTTGGAATGGTAGTGATACACCTCACCTCCTAGTAACTAGAAAACAAACCCAGATAATAATTGCACTTTGAAAATAAGATTCCCGTTCGAAATATTTACATAAACACAAATATGCTTATTTTGCAAAAGTTGTATGTTTTCTTTTTGTTTATTCATGTCTTTTTATTGTTTTTGCAATACAATGACGCATGTGACAATCAATCACATATGGATCGTGAAAGGTTTACAGGTTCTCTGCGATATAGATGCAGAAAAAACGATATTATTGGTATAATCTAATAGGTTTATTTGGCAGAATTGTTTTTGTAAGATACAAGTGTAAATTATAATAGATTATCGGACAATGATCTTAAATGAAAAAGAGTAGACGGCATTTCATGAAAGAAGTCTTATCACTTAATACAGCGCATGGTATAATCAAACAACGTGTACATCAGATAAGACCATCTTAAGAGTTAATCATTATCATCCTTACAGTACTGATACTATTACTTCATATTCATCAAATGTTCTAATCTGTTCTTACGTCTTCACAAGTATTGACAACTTTCTCGCATCGTGCCATCATTCCAGATACGTCGTTTCCGGGATTGTTCCATAATAACATCGTCGCCTGTTTGCCTTGTCCATCTGGCAACTATGGATACAGGGAAAGGATTAAGCAGACGAAATACACATGAAAATTGCATCTGTGATATTGAATAGGCAGATGTATTGGCGATCAGAAAAGCCTGTTTATGTTGTGTTATAAGAATCTAACGAAGTAGACACAAATAAAAATAGAAACACAAAGAAGTGTATTTCAAATGTAAAATATTTAGAGACGTTAGCTAATGACTGTTCTTGAATGAGAGTCAAAGAATTCAAGATAAAATACATAAACGAACGAGGATATTTTAGTTCATGTCATTAAAAGATTTTTTTGCTTTTGTGTCCTTCTTAATAACGAATTCAAATTGACATTTCTAAACTGAACAATGCGCCACAAATGATATAGGTTGTATTTGAACAATGATACATCACATACACAACGCGAAGTGGTTGGCACGACTTACTCCATATCCGTTTTCCTTGATGATGTCTGTGTCCTCGAAAACCCTCCTTAGGTTTGCTATCTCATCCTTATCAAACAATCCTCTGTACGTTTAACAAAAGAAAACAATACCTTTTGAAATATTAATATACTCTATGGTTAATACGAAATGAACACGTGTGAAGTGTATGTACGTTGCGCCTTATACTAAATATTTAATTATCTCGATAGTCATCTTATGCAGTAATTATCATTATTCTGTTTGAGATTACCATAACAACGTCAAGTTAATACATATTACATGTGATACAATTTTAGTCACTCGAAAATTATCTTATGCTTGATATTTGAAACAGACTATCGTACGTATTAATAAAAAAACAATTAAATGGAAAAAAGTCTACTTCCTGGTAGATTGTGATTATGCAAATAATTACTTGACTAAAATGTATCCTTTGTCATCGAAATGATTTTTCATGTCATTTGTCACACGGAAATCCGCCGATGAAAACGAGTACACTATGAGCAAAAAATAAAAACATGAAAATGTTTGAACTGGTTCCATGCAGTGTCTAACACAGTCGTTACCATCATTTTGCCATGGTCTTATTATCTATAATTTTGTAATATGATAGATCAGGGACAAATAATAAAACTATGCAATACCTGTAATGAAATAGTGTAAAAACACTACATATAGCGTCACATACAACACGTTGTTCAAAACTTTCAATTTTCAATAAATCATTTGTTTTCACATTTATATACAATGTCCCAAGGTTTTTTTTTTATCATCATCGTTAAACGGAACCGCTATGTTTTGCAGTTTGACTTATTATCTAAGTAATTGATATACAGTGTGCGTCTTTTGTAAAACTCATTGTTTGAAATATCCCACAAAATAATGAGCTAAAACCGTGGCTAGGGAATATAATTGTCAATGTAAAAAAAGAATCTCTAATGGAATACAATATGATAGGATATCATTCAGTACGCGTTTTCTTCATGTTTTATCTTACCACCGGTCAGTGCCGCCATCACAACGGTTTCACGGTAATATTACACCTGAAATTACAATATCACGGTTAATGCCATTTGATCTCGTGCACCACAATTCACGTTCAAGTTTGTCTCGTACAATGTCAGCCTTTTTATTCATATGTTCATTTATGAAGACTGTCAAATGACAACTGACGTCCAGAACACCATTTCCAAATTTTGGACGAATAGAAATACCAACAAACAAAGTTTTTTTCTTAATGTTCGGAATTTGTCCACGCGACAAAATACACAAGTTAGACCGAAACATATCAAATAATTTTTTTCCATTTGATTTTTGCTAACTTTCGATTAAATACAAACCTTCTCTTCTCTTCAATTTCACATTAAAACAGCTTTGTATGGTCGCGTCAACACGTCAACATAATTATAATCCAAACTCAAATAAGACCAGGTTTTTCCGAATGAGTAGGCGTCTTCTGCTTCATCGACGATAAACGCCTTGTAAACCTTGATCAATCGTAGCATCAACATTCTCAAATGAGAACAAGGTATACAACAACGAAACCATCGCTGCAAGTTGATGACTACGGGAAATATTTATGGTCGAAATCATTATTTGTTTATAAAGAACTACTCAATTTTCCTAAACAATTAGATGTTGAATGTGTTTGTCAATAGTGCCAATATTTGAATGACGTGCTTTTCATATGAAACAAAATACCAAGACATTTGGGTTTTTTTGACACGATCTTTACTTTTCTCAATGTCAACATCCATAGATTGCTATCGTTTTCATGCACTTTGAGTCTATACTACGAGATTTATACATGTTTTTAATCTTTAACCACTGTATGCAGATAACTCGTAAACTAAACATTATAATATTACCGAATTTATATCGTGCTATCAAACCAAGGATATGAATATTCAGTATGACGGCACTATTACTGTCATACATTGACTGTTGCGAGGACGTGAAATTCAACAAACAAACAAAATCACTGTCTATTCGCAATGGTTTTAAAGTTATCGAACTGATGATGTCAAACTATGTTTACTAATTGTTGACAAAGTAAGTTTTCACACAAACTTCCATTGTGCAATATACTAAAGTATGTATTTTCCTAGGTAATATAACAACTAATAACATGAAATAAGCAATTAGTTACAAGAGAACATATAGCTATGTATAGGCAATGGGTTAAGTGAATAAACACTATGTCATATACGCGTCTGATTAGAGCCACTATAAAAAAATAGATTTTCTTGTAAGTCATGCATGTCTATACAAGATCTAATATGACTCGTATACGATAGCAGTTTGACATACAGATTAGCAACTCGGACGGAAAAGATATTTAGAAGGCATACTAGGCTCCATCACCAACATCCGTCATGTACATTTTGATCTATCCATGATCAATAACGAGCATCAAACAAGTGCAGCTTTATATCGCACAAAAGGTAGAATATTTCTGGATGAGACCATTATGAGATGACTGTAAACTTAATCATAATTTTCATCTCCTTGTACGAAAATCGTGATAATGAGAACAATCATTCGAATATCAAATCAACTTCGACATGTTAACACTATAGCTTGGGGATGTCGATACTGCTATCCTGAAATGGAAAATATACGATAGGGAAATTGAAATCATCACACTTATCATACAGCTTGGTGGAAAGCTGTCCAAGTCGGTTTCGTTGTAGGAAAATATCGAGATGAACGGGATTAGAGAAATCTAATTAATCCGGAAAAGTTTGGAAAAGATCGATCATGTAGAGGAATCGGTCCTTCCTTCGAATTCCAAACGTAGTAGGTATACATGATGAACATATCAATACATTGTTATTTAAAAACATCATATTGTCATTTATTTATCAATCAATTATTATTATTAATCTGTACGTACGTGGTAGTATCTCAAACGTACAAGATACCGGTTGTACATGTCAGAACAATAAACTGTTGTTTGTAGACATGATATGTTGCATAAGTTGATTGTATATATCGGGATGATAAATACACATTCTTTGGTTAATAATCACGGAAACATAATAGCCCCTTCAAGGTAAATCTGCATGTTAATAAATCTTACTTATAACTAATGCTTCCTTTTTTCTTACCTGTATGTTTGCGAGCAGGAACCTAAATATATTGGGTCACATTCAAGGTGGCGTGTTCAGACTGATTGCAGAGATATGATACAGTTTATAAATATATTGACAAGGCAATATGATCCTAAGTATAGAACGTTGTACGTTATCTATGCATAGTTACAGGTAAGAACTACCTGAATACTTTGTAAAATTCTGTAAATGTTACATGTTCATATAGGATTTGGCATCACAAGTTTCAAATTAATGATAAGTTATTAAACAATACGCTATTTTTTTATGTTAATGACTGTAACGGTTAAACAACAATTGTACGTTGTTTAAAGTCCAAAAGGATCCGCTGTTTTTTCCAATCGCCATATTGGTTAAACGTGTGTTTGAAATTAAAAAAATCACTATTTCAAAGCCTTTGAACAATTATGCTTTTAAAGATAACCCCTCTAGATATAGATTTAAAATAAATTGTTTACTACTCATTTTGATTTAACATTTTAATTATTTCATAAAAAAAAAAAAAAAAAAAGACAACATTTTTTCTGTACGAGGTCGTCAACTGACGTAACACAGGGTTTCAAAAGATGCGGGTTGATGAAAATTATGGGGAGGTTTATGGTCGCCAAAGTGATCTCATTGAGAAAAAGTCTATTTCTTAGACCGATAAGAAGCTGGCCGTCTTGATGGTCGTTAGTTTGCCTGTTGGTTCCGCTATTGTGTATCTTGTTCTCATTAGAGAACGTGACATTACTTTCTTGGATTTCACAAGGTTTACTATATGAAGTAGGTAGCTTGCACATCAAGATTGGTGGTCTCGCATGCTCCTATGTGGTATCAAGCTAGATAACTCTGTAATTTCTAAGTTAGTCATGCTGCTACATAATCCTGTGTTCTAAAAGATTAGTATGAAGCTAGAAAAACCCGCGCTATCACAGTTGGACATCAAGCTGTATTCTCAAATGTGGGTACCAAGCTGTACTCTCAAAGGTGGGTATCAAGCTGTATTCTCAAAGGCGGGTATCAATCTGTATTCTCAAATGTGGGTACCAAGCTGCATTCTCAAAGGTGGATATCAAGCTGTATTCTCAAAGGTGGGTATCGGGCTGTATTCTATTCTCAAAGGTGAATATCAAGCTGTATTCTCAAAGGTGGGTATCGGGCTGTATTCTATTCTCAAAGGTGAATATCAAGTTGTATTTTCAAAGGTGGGTATCAATCTGTATTCTCAAATGTGGATATCAAGCTGTATTCTCAAAGGTGGGTATCGGGCTGTATTCTATTCTCAAAGGTGAATATCAAGTTGTATTCTCAAAGGTGGGTATCAATCTGTATTCTATTCTCAAAGGTGAATATCAAGTTGTATTCTTAAATGTGGGTACCAAGCTGTATTCTCAAAGGTGGGTATCAAGCTGTATTCTCAAAGGTGGATATCAAGCTGTATTCTCAAAGGTGGGTATCGGGCTGTATTCTATTCTCAAAGGTGGATATCAAGCTGTATTCTCAAAGGTGGGTATCGGGCTGTATTCTATTCTCAAAGGTGAATATCAAGCTGTATTCTCAAAGGTGGGTATCAATCTGTATTCTCAAAGGTGGGTATCAAGCTGTATTCTCAAATGTGGATATCAAGCTGTATTCTCAAAGGTGGGTATCGGGCTGTATTCTATTCTCAAAGGTGAATATCAAGTTGTATTCTCAAAGGTGGGTATCAATCTGTATTCTATTCTCAAAGGTGAATATCAAGTTGTATTCTTAAATGTGGGTACCAAGCTGTATTCTCAAAGGTGGGTATCAAGCTGTATTCTCAAAGGTGGATATCAAGCTGTATTCTCAAAGGTGGGTATCGGGCTGTATTCTATTCTCAAAGGTGGATATCAAGCTGTATTCTCAAAGGTGGGTATCGGGCTGTATTCTATTCTCAAAGGTGAATATCAAGCTGTATTCTCAAAGGTGGGTATCAATCTGTATTCTCAAAGGTGGGTATCAAGCTGTATTCTCAAAGGTGGATATCAAGCTGTATTCTCAAAGGTGGGTATCGGGCTGTATTCTCAAAGGTGAATATCAAGCTGTATTCTCAAAGGTGGGTATCGGGCTGTATTCTATTCTCAAAGGTGAATATCAAGCTGTATTCTCAAAGGTGGGTATCAAGCTGTATTCTATTCTCAAAGGTGAATATCAAGTTGTATTCTCAAAAGTGGGTATCAAACTGTATTCTTAAATGCTGTTATCAAGCTGTATTCCTGTACTCTAACATATGAATATCATAATAGGTAAACTTATACTCTCGCTAATCATTTGCACCAGTACAATGAAGATCTCCTTTTAACCCGAATCCATTTATTAACCATGTACTGTCTTAGATTGTACAAAAGACACTAAAGTGAATAGCACTATTAATACGTATTTACAAGCAAATAGAGTTGAACCAAACAATGAAATAAACTTCACCATATAGTTTTGTCATAAAAAATCCCTAGATTTTGAACCCCAAGGAGAAAACTCTAAAGCAGTAAAAAAAATGTCAACCTTTAGATGGGGTGGTGCACTAGCTCCATTTATCAATAAACTTTACGAATTTCATATATTTGACGATTTAAGACAAACGTCAAATAAATGGATATCTTTTAAATCGTGTCACGATTCGAATTAATTAAAACCACAACCAGCATTGTCTATGACCTAAAATCTCGAAACCTTGTACATTTGTAGGTGTACTTCTAAAATTGTTTTACGCAGATTATCCGGTGCAATACTCCCGTATTTATCATTGAATTCGGGATTGTACAAAAGACGCATAATTTAGAATGAGTACAGTAGACTCATCATGACTGCATCATACAGATGTTTCGTCCTTCTAAGACTCGTCAGTGATGCTAAGTGCCTAAATTTGAAGGAAAAATCCAAAGTGATCAAAAGGAAAGTCAAAATCTAGACGGGGAGGTGCAGCAGTCCCATAATAAAAAAAATTCATAATTTCCATTCGTTTGATAGATTTATTTTATTATATTTCAGGCAATTCTAAGGTCTGAACTGCATACGTTTCTATTTTTCTTTTACTTTGTCATTTTTTCATTTCCGCTCAATCGAGCAATTCTTTATTTAAATGTCAACTTTTCCAGAACACATGTCAATCATATGTATGTTACATGTCTCTCGGTGATCATTTGTGATGCATCTGAGGTGACCAATAATTTTCAATGTAAAACATATGGTTAAACTGAGTGTAAAAGTGGAATTGAAATGTGCTATTCACCTTGTGTCTGCTGAATAATACGTATATATCGCAGAGGGACATAAGCTGCAAAGATTTGGCTCTGGAATTTATTTTATATGATTGAACTTGCCTTAATAAGGCTTTGTGTAAATATTCTTTTTAATTTAACCCTAGTTTGATTGAATTTGAGTTTCGATTATGACTTTGATGACATGTTGGCATTTTGCTGTTGTCAGACTGGATGATATAGATATATGGCCATATGATTACAGTGTATTGATTCATTTTACCTTAAATTCCTACTCTTCCTTGGTACCTTGTTCTTATAAATGTATGATAGTCTTCAGTTCCTGGATGTTTCCTACCAGCAACAAAATTTCGGATAATTCATGTCTGCTACAACATTACATTTTCATAATGATCAAGCTATTTTATGTGTTATTTGTAGACTTTGTATACATATTCCTGTAGAACCAAGCTACGTTCAACAAATTACCAGATGATTATATTTCCGTTTTCAAATGTCTATAAAGCAATCGAAACAAAACAACAACAAGGTAAACGCTATCTAAATTTCCCGCTTAACCACATAATGACGTCAGCAAGTCCAAATTCGAGAACAGTCGTAATGATATACTTCCTCGTGTCGTCATATATAGCAATTGTATGTTATAGTTTCGTCACAAATTCAACCTGATTATTGATACAAAAAAGCGTGAAATCTCGCAATTTTTTCGAATGAAATTTACAATGTATTTTCTAATTCGTTTGAAATAGAATAGCGCATTAATATTTCATCAAAAAGTGACGCGGTTCTGAGTTAGATTTCACGAAACAATGCGTCTAGTGTTTCTTCAGAAATTATTTATGTTATCGTGTCGCGGAGTGGATTGCTGTAATTTTCAGAATAGAATAACTACAGAAATTAAATGGCTGTCCATGCTGTCAGTATGACGTTTTGTTTGCAACAGATTTTACATTTGTAATTTGGACTGTCAGGTCGTACTGTAGCAGACGAAGGCAAACTTGGTAACCAAGTATGTTATGGTGAATTTGCCGTTAAATTGCATGTTTGACAATATCTGATCTATCATATTTGACAGCTTTAAAGTCACTTATTATATGTGAAGGTCTTACTTATGTCCAACAGCTTCAAAATGGATACCTATGTGAAAAGTGAAAGTAGGAGAATGCAACACAAAATGTGAAAATTATATTTGTTTCTACCAGGATATCTTTTCGATGGACTTCTCACCTTCACCATCGAATGTGTAACATTCATACACTTGACCAGATGGGTTTGTATAGTCCGATATACGCAAAAAGCCTACATTTTGTCGCGAATCGTTATTTATAATGAATACCATTACATATGACGTGAAAAATGACACGATGATGTTATACTGCTTGTAGATATGCCCTATCAACAAGTGCATTGTCAGATAGTGCGTTGTCCTGATGCAAAATGATGTTATGCTGGATTGACGTGTGATTTCCTCATAGTAGCGCAAGCCAGTTAAATTGCCTTCCAACCGAAGAGGTATCCACCCACTGTAACGTCAACCCAGACCGGGAAATTATCCCACACAATACGGTTCCCTCTGTTAAACTGACGACGCTGAATTATATAACGTCGCGGTAGATGTCACAATCACTCGACCTTCGGTACATCCGAAAGGGATCGTCACTGCTTTCAAGTGAAATTTGGAATCATTTTTAATTTCGCTTAAGACCATTTCCTGTTTGTGAATCACAAATGTCTTGCACCTTGCTTATCAAGCAACTCTATGACGATTAAGCAAAACCGGATAGCAGGACATCACGGTCGGTGTTGTTTCTCGCAATCTGTTCATACATTACTGGAACTGATCCATCCTGGAATGTTTCTATCGGTCGATGGAGAGGTATAGAACAGAACTTAAATAGTCGACGGGATATAGTCCTCATGGGCGGCGCCGTATGTCGACCGGATATAGTACTCATGGGCGGCCCCGTATGTCGACGGGATATAGTCCTCATGGGCGGCCCCGTATCGTTTCCGTTTGCCTAATAAAACCTATTGTATTGGTGTAAACCGAATTGCCCATCCCGAAGATTCGGTATGACAAACAAAACACAACGCTATTAAATACAAATAGAATTGTATTGTATCATTTCTCTGTCACTGTCCTTTTTTGAAAGAATAACTGCAATATCACGTTGCTACAGCGAAGACTTAACTTTTCATTATATCCAAATAGTTAGTAGGATGGATATGCACAATTCTTAAAATCATTTGATTAGAGCATGATGATGACGAATGTAAACCCACGTACATGTGCTAAAAGACTAATATCATCCGTCAACTATATTTGTGGTTGTACTATCCAGAAATCCTTACCCTCAAAATTGGTCGTATTTGTGCATTGTCGAACAGCATCATCAGAAACCTAAATCAATGAAAATTAAATGAAATGAAGTATATTTCCATAATGAGCCAAACATTGAAATTTATTAATTATATCCTGTATTTTAATAGGAATTATTTTACCTGATTTATCGGACGGTAACCCGGGTGTTTTTGGTGCGGTCCTGGATTGTTAGACTTCCTGTTGTACGCTAAGATGAGACCCCGTCTATTGTCGGCACTGGTGTTGTCAGTGCTTGTGTGAAGCACGTTACAATGGAAAAACAGAGCGTCACCTGATGCACAAAAGGTTTACATTGCCATGTATTACCAATTTGAATAAAACATTTTTTTCGGTTTAGGAAAAAGACATCATATTGACAGAAAATGTATTATACGTTTCTGTGTGTTCACTTATCTATTGGAATGTGTATCGCAATTACAAACAACACAATCGTTTGGCAATATATTCATGAAAAAAAACAGCTTTGATTAAGTACATCCGATAAAAGGAATACAGAAACCTTCTGACGTCATATTTTTTTCTATCAATATAAAACATCAATGTACCTGCGTCGAGTTCGGCATATACGTGTTGAAGCTTTTCTTGTATGGCCTCCACCCTGTCGACGTCAGCTCCAGTCTGATGAGCAACGATCGTGTGGTCAATCCTTCCACATTTGTGTGAGCCGCTTAGTAGCTGAAAAATTGCATGTCGGTTTTATTTTATGTTCATATAGTTTTATCATGATGTTGCCAAACATTGCATAAAGCATCGTTATATAAATAGTAATTAAGAACGGCCTCCAAACAGCCAGGATGAAAGACAATATCGAGCAAGAGCTCATTATAAAGGACACGTTGTATGATAAGCTTCACCGTGGTCCTTTACCTTTATTTATAGAAAATGTATCACTATAATCACGATAAATTCCAGTATGTATTTCAGTCTGTTCAAAGAGTGAGTGTTGATAAAGGGTTCTTAATTGCAAGGAGTCGACCTATTTGATATAAAAGCACGTAATATGCGAGTACCTTTTTAACACTATATATCTTATCAATTTCATATAATGTCAATTAAATGGTTTTATAGCTACATTGTTTCAGAATATAAACTTGTGGTCTGACCTGGAGACATCCGTTGGCTTTTCTACATTGATCCACGGCCACAAACACACTCATCATGTCTGGGAACAAACAGCCATACTTGTACCAGTACCTGTAATATATAGTGGCATATACCCATAGCAAACTTATCATTTGATTACAGGACAGAAAGTCATTTCTCCGCTGAAGCAATTCCTTAGTGAATTTCTTTTTTATTGCCAGTAGGATGTATATTGTCTTTAAATGCTCCGCTAAATGTTATTAATAACATTTTTACTACTGAAATGTAGAGAAATATCAAGTTCATATACTAGTGAAAAATAACTTTTTCAAACTTGTACTAATGAAACCAGAGTAGTCACATCATCATATAAAATTGACTAAGTACCGTACAAAAACACGCATATCTAGAAAGGACTTTTTTTTTATTGCACCCTCGTGAAAGATACTAAAATATTAGACATACTAGTGATATATATATGACATTACTGATACTGATCTCTATTGGGAGATCAATAGACAGTTGACAATGGTTACCCTTTTCTCTATTCATCAATGCACTTGTGTGATATCTGCAGGTTAAGCCGTGACATATAAATATCACCTTACTTTAACTACGAGTATCAATCTGAACTCGACAATACTAATTACAAACAAACGTGATGTCTGTGTTATACCCGAGAGGTAAGATCGTGTAATGTACATTCACAATGTAAGTATATCGTAAAGATGATCAAATTCATGAATATTTACTTAAAGAAACTCTACGTACGCCGACATTTGATCTGATTACATGTGTACGTTGCATGGAGGGCTGGAATCCTATATCAATCTTTAACATGTTGCCTATATATATATTGCATCAGGATATCTTTCAGAAGTGTAAAACAGCCATTTCAAGTACAGGCTACACGTGTAATTTCAAGCATGCGATTCTTATTGACAAGCAAACGCCTTAATAGCCGCATTTATCAGACTTTCACAACAGCTAGAAATAACATCGATATCAAATGAGAGATATTGTAGCCCAGACTATATCGTGACCGCACGAGTACATGGTAAAATGTATTCTTAGATTGATTGAAAATGCCAACCATTCTTTGCACTGATAATCATTAAGCCATTCGTATCACGAAGCATCATCAGAAATGTTCATGTAAAATACCATTAACTTTGTTTTGGAAAATATAATTAAAGGACCTATCAGGTAAAATGATGATAAATCAGTCTCCTTGAATTTGACCATGGTTCTGTCTGAGGAAAGCTGATTTACATGTACTCACGATTCAGATAACCGCATTGTAGTGAGTAGGGATTAAACTATGTTTTATTCCGTTCATAGTGATATCAGACTGTACAATGTTTGTATTCCATCACGCGTTCCTGTTTCGGCGAATGTTCAATACCTACCGATGGTCACATACCTGTTTCTGTTATTGAACACTACATAAGTTATCTACGTACCCATAGTCCTGGTGCCATTCAAACGTGCCTCCAATGTAGGGTTCTTTCGTGACAAGTTTGGTATGGTAATGGTATACCTCGCCCCCCAGGAGCTAAAAACCCGAGATAAGATGTCAGGAATATATACATGCAATGTATCCAAGATACGGTTAATGTTAATTCGAATAAATCCTTTTGTTATCTGCATTATAAGTGATAAGACAGAAAAGAAATATTATATCTATTAGATCTTTTTGTTGTTTTAGTGAAGGTTGCAGAAATATCACAGACGGTTTAAATTCGTTTTTATAGATGTTACTTGATACAAACTAAAGAAGACGGATTTATTAATGCTAACCACATGCCTTGTTAAAAGAAGAATTAATCTCATTCCCAGACAGATGTTATCTGATACCAGCATTAATGTCTAATACAATACCACTTCTGTACATGTACCTTATCACATGTTCCTGCAATCTTCCGACAACGAGCCACCATTCCTGTGACGTCATCACCTGGATGCTGCCATAATATGAGCTTTGGTTCCTTACCACTTTTGTCTGGTCGCTGCATGTATTCAGATTATAAACAAATAGAGCAGCATGGAAATGACAGGCGGTAGATATGGAGAGCATCAAGTAATTAGCATTATACAACAAGTACACAAAACAAATCACATTGAAGTAGAGAAAACAGGTGTGTTGGCAATGTAGCCGTATGCCATCAAAAGGGACGTCACATGACTATGAGCTTAGTTAGAAGACATCAAGCTAATAACGATTAAGTGTATTTAATCATCACTGTCTAGTTGGATGTGTACTCACCCCGTACTGGTACTTAAGTACATTAGGATTTTCAATGACCTCCTTGACCTTGGTCAGCTCCTCGTTGTCCAGTAAAGCCCTAAGCACCAACGTTAAGCCACAAAATGCACGTGTAAGTATCAAATAAAGCTCGTGAAACATATCAGTATGAATATAAATTGAAAAAAGAACATGTGTTTATTATTATTTTTTTATAATTAAAAAGAAAATGTGCTAAACGATTTACATTTATTAGAAGTACCTGATAATGATGTAGCCTTTGTCCCAGAAAGCACGAAGGACGCTTTCTGTAACCTCAAAAGAACCATCGTCACCTAGCCGGAAGTCTGCAATAAGACAAAGAAATCAATGTTTTTTTAAATGTCTTAAAGATCTCGCGTGAGAGGAAAGATTATCGTTATGTTGTGTAAGTATACATATACATAAGCATTGATGTGTAATGAATGTAAAGAGATGGTAATAGGGATCGACACTGACCATTATTTATACATCGATATAAATATAGTGTATGATATCTGTTCTGATGTTACCACTGTGCAAAGCCGGAATTTCATTACCAGCAAACTGTTTTATTTTTAAGCATTTTTTAATGTTTCATTTCGAAGTTGCGTCACTGCAATTTTTTATTGTTGCCTTCACACTAATTATGTGCCAGCATGATATCAATATAAAAGTTCAATACCGTCTCAATATCAAACCAGACATACAACAAGAAAATTGACCGGAAGAGGAAATGACGTACAACATGGGTAGTAATCTTTATGAAAATGATGTTTCTAGTATGATGTTGAGGTCAACAGATAGAAACACATACCGCACGACTTGTCCATTACGGCAACAACTTATGTGGTTTGGTCTGTGTCTCTCTTTAGAATCAGAAACAAAATGCATGTCACATTTATTTATATGATATTTATCTTCGGCAATATAGAACAAAAACAATACCATATTCTCATATTGGTTAGATATTAAACCTACCTGGTGCACTATTCCAATGTCCTTGGCCTGAACTCAGATACAGGTAGGAAGATATCTCGGTTAGTCACAGATAGGGTTATCTTAATAAACTGGGTCTCGTTTTAAATGCATCACTATGCATGACTTATCGTATAGTTTGTAGCCGCTAGCTATTTTTCCCATGGTTTGGTATGTTGATTGCTTAAAGCCCATATATCAGTTGCACAATCATGATCAACTCCTGATATCTCCTAAATTATCATGTTTTCAAAATCATGTGTATATGAACGTTATATGAATTTTAATTCAGAAAACACTTGGGTATGATATCTAAATATCAACTTAAACACGTGTTTATTCAATTAATTACCACTCTCCGGTATAGTAATATTTTAGGCTCCATTTAATTCCACTCAGACAAAACAAAGTTCTAACTCCTTCAGGCGCTGGTGTCGATTTCTTTTAACATCTAAAGCGAAATCACATACGATACGAATAGTAAGAACGATAACTCCTACGTCTTCCTCCTTAGATTGCCCATTCCTTCGGCTGGTGTTTACCTTGTTCTCATTCAGGAGTATGACATTATTCACTTTGATTAGCCAAACTTCACATTGAGGGTGTCGTCGATGAAGCAAAAGACGCTTAGTATTCCAGATTACATGGTCTTCTTTTTCTTGTACCATTTCTCCATATATTTTATTATTTTACATATTTTGATTAGTTTTATTAAATTTTGGTTTGGATGAAATTTTTTTCACGTGTCTGTATTTTCCCATAAACATATAAGAACTATAGATTTAAGAACTGAAATATGATAAACATTTTTTTTGCAGATTTTAACAATTATAATTTATGCTAATAATTCAACTACGATGTACAATGATAAAATAATTGTGACAATATTTTTATTAATGGATCCTCATCACGAGGTCTTGATTATCATTCTGGCGCTAACGTACCCTAAATATGGCTCGTGTTGAGGCTGATAAACACCGTTCGGTAGTTGTCAATGAAGAGCTTCGTGATCACACGACAGAAATTCTGACATCGAATCGCACGGTGGAGATAATAGTATGGTTAATGGTCAAAGTGATTTGTTCCGACTCCTTTGACAAAAATCAGTTCAATGACTACTGATATAAAATATAATAAATTCCGGGGTCATCTATAAATAGAATATTAGTGTACTGTCCTAAATAAATAAAGTCAACTGTTACATGGAATTGTTTCCTACTTTTAAAGAGTGATTAAAGAATGGTTACTAGATCTCCAGTTGACATAAATGTGCTGCCAATTTCCAAGACTGTAAATTCTGAAACCGTTAGACAGACACTTTCAAAAAGGCGTGATGAATTTTAGGTATAGACACTAGAAATACATATAAACAATGATTTTGACAGATAATCCATTATCAGGAACTATCCCCTAACTCACGTTTATGGACAGCTGGACAACTTATGCCTGTATTCTATCACGTGGTATGAACTTTGACAGCTTTATTACTCACTTTTCATGTATTGCTGCCATTATCAAACTTTCTACTAAATATATAATTATTTCAAATTACCGATGAATTAACTAATCACACATGCTGAATAATGTGTCATTTACATTTGAAGTAACAACGGTCTACTGTGCGCTGTAACAACGTCGTACCGTCCTGTCTAGTTTATATTATTGGTTGCCGGGTTTGGTAGTTGACATACTTTTCGGAATATATACGACTATTGTTAATGATATATAGGCAGTAAAAGGCTGTTAAAAACTAACTACATTTGATGTATCTAACTATGTTGTTGGTAGTTTATTAAATGTCACAAGTGGTAAATCTACCTAGTGTTAGTAGGCTTCAAACTTTCAGTTCTTCGCGTAGACGTACTACGACACACGGACACAGACGCGTACTATTCACTGTATTGGGGGTCGAACTAGCGACACTTTGGTTATAAACCAAACGCTCTATTACCAGACCTCCGTTTCTCATGCATATTTTATTTTTCTGTAACTACAATGCTTACAAACATATCTGCCTATCGTATCTAGTTTAGAAGTCGAACCTTCTTATTTCGAACTCTTTAAACTCGAAGATCCCGTTTAATTCGAAGGATTGCATCGGTTCTTCTAACTTTGCACAAACATTCCAACTCGCTTAAATAAAATACTTGGTTCTCTCGAAGTTTCCCTCATGATCCCTGCGAGTTCGAGATAACAGGATTCGTCTGAGTGTTGAAAACATCTCCCCTTATTAGTTTTCTCAGATTTAGCCGACAATACTTCCATTTGATATCTGGAAAGAACCGGATCAAGCAGCGGCCAAAACCTGTTATTAATCCTATTCAACATCAGACAGTAGTTCGGATCAGTGATATTATAGATGTGATAGAAGTTATCCAAGATGTTTACAAACAATTAAACATTACAAGATTTAATATCAATGCATATGCGCGCAGATTATCATATCGTCAATCTGTGTTTTACAATTAAACACACGTTCCAAGATGTTGACAAACAATTAAACATTACAAGATTTAATATCAATGCATATACGCGCAGATTATCATATCGTCAATCTGTGTTTTACAATTAAACACACGTTCCTCCTTTATTGAACATATCTTTCGTATATACAGATAATAACTGGTAATGAAGGAGACGACTGGCTGATCTACATCTGCATTATACACTATTATTGAGTTTTCAATACAACAAAACGTTTTAAAGGTTTCTGAGCAAATATGTCGTTTGTTCATTTTGGCCTCATTAAGTTTTAGATTGATTTCGTCAACATTTCTGTATTGTCTCGCTATATTAGAACTGAACCTTTGTTGAATTTTCATTCGTTTTATTATACAAATAAATCAATCATACTAATAAGGCTATGATTTTTATTGCTTTTTGTCTGAAATTTCATAGTTCTGAGGTTACAGTATACCACGTTATAAAGGTAGAAGTCTATGTAGTATGTTTGATCGGCTTAAATTACCAATCTACAGGAGATATAGTGATTATGATAATTCAAATCTAGTTGTCTCAGTCCTTTACAGGACGGTAAGCACCAACACGTGTAGAACAGTCAGGGAACTCCTGTAGCTGGTGAGATTCTGGTGTGTATCCTTGATGACCGCTTGGAGGAGGAACATACTGGCCTCTAGCCCCTTGAGGTTGTTGGATGTGCGCAATATTCCACAGATAAATAACAGCATCCCTGACCAGGTGCTCTGAGGAAGCCTCTCCGATTGCTTTCAGTATCATAACGCCGTCCTCTGTTATTTCTGACCCTGCAAATCGGGCAATGTCGTTGTCAGAGGGAGAGGATGTCATCTCCTCGGACAGATGCAGATAGCGCTTGACAAACCTGAATATTTAAACCCACAGAAATAAAATAAATTACAACCAATCCTGAATCAGAATGCCATTTCGAAATTTCGGTAATTATCAACATATTTCTTATCTACATGAACACAGTACTTGTTAATTTCTATGTTTTGGAACTTCTTTCATTGTATTTACAGTGAACGTAATAAAATAATTATCTCACGCGCAAATGATAAAATTGTTCAGCAATTGGATATTGCAAGCTTATCTCATCACTGGAATCTCCACATTACTACCATTTGACTCCTCAATGTCCTCCATCTATCTAATTTCTAATATTTAATTTGTGAAAAGTTTTGAAACTTATTCATAAAATAAACACTTACCGCTGGATACGGTATCAAATGATAACAATGTCGATTACTTGTTGTATAAAGTAACGCAAACAGAAATGAGAAATGAAACTAATACCTTCTGCGGAAGAGGGGTACTAAAACGAGAAGTAGTTGGTTCAAGCCACTGAACGTCGTCGTTATAGACACTAAAACGAACACCAACCACATGATCCCAAACACCATCTCGTAGTATGTGATGTTACTGTAAAAGCATTGTGTAGTGAAACTGTGCACCATGCTCAACTTCCGGATGGAAAAATCGCACAGAAATCCTTTCTGAAGTTTTAGACTGCTGGTACGCCAATGCAACGTTTGGTTGCTGAAAATATCGTCAGCCAATTGCAGTCCAAAGGAAGACTGGTTTTCTGATTTGAGGACAGCGTTCATGATGGACAACTGTGTGACGACATTTATAAAGTATAGAAGTTTTGTGAACAGAAACAATAGGGTAAGCCATCCCCACGGACAGCCCTTCAAAACAGTGGAGTTTATCCAGCTTTTCACGTACTGTCCAACTTGTCTCCCCATTCGGTCTCGATCGGCCATATTCAGTGTCTCGTACCCGTCAGTTAGTCCAAAAATCCTCGAAGATCTAAAACCCACCAAACCTTGACCGACGGATAAGACGATATCAGGAAGTTTAAACAGCATTGCCTGCACGAGTAGAATGAGTGGAATCCAGCGGTATGGTGGTTTCTTCATCACTGAAGGCTTAAATCTATCCGGTGGTGCAGTGTTGTCTTTCACCACGTAATACGTTGGACTTTCCCAGCACATCTTATTGGTATACCTGACCATTTGTGACGTAAACTCAGCGGGGGTCCAGCAGGTGACAGGGTCGTAGGCAGTGTGAATGTAGAATGTAAGCGTCGAGAACAGGAGGAGGATCCCCACAGTCCATATACTGTTGAATCGTCCGCACAAGTCATTCATGCGGAATCTGGATTGATTCACAGGACGTAAAAATGGTTGGAAAACCATTGCGATATATATCTGCATATAGAAATAATGTAGGTTTAAATGACATTATAACAAAAAAAGAATTTGACAATTTACATTAAGGTTCAATAATTTGCTCGCAGAATGATAACGTCCACTACAGAAAAACAACTATGACTGACTTGAGTAAACCGAAACCTTATCTAACGTTGAGAAAAGTTAGTTTTAATTTTGTTTTCAAATAAATGGTTATAGTAAAATTATCGCAACAACTGTAAATATCCGTGTGAAGTGTATTACCTCGTGAGCTGAGTGGGTTCCTGTCACTTTCACCAGATATGTGGGTCGAATGATACACACGAGTATCCTGATGCGACATTTACCCCCTAGTTAAACAATTGTAATAGAGTCATTATCCGAAAGGTCAGCCACGTACATTATCTTGACTGAATGATCATCATACCATGAAAACATTTCACCGCATGATATGGTATTCTTTATAGAGAAATCTATTACTGGTATAATTATTATACTTTAATAATCTCTATCATTACATACTTGTGTAATTCTTGGCTTGGTATGAAATATCTAGTATAATTTATTAACATTGTCGTGTTGGTATAGTGTAGTCGAATTTAAATCGCATCATTATAATACATACGTTGCAATCATTAAAGAAATTATATATGTTTGTATTAAATAAATTTATTAATAAAAAAATCAAATTGTACTCATACGAAATTGCTAATTTTAGAAGACATTGTATTTTCAGAGTGATGACAAAGGATAAAAGAATCATGTTTTGATATCTTATTCAGTCGATTGATATTTTAACCTGCTCAACCCTTGATGACAGTAAAAATGCTTGAAATGATAGTCAAGTCTTGACCATGACAGTTACAATTCTCCTAGTAAGATTTGTTAACCTTATCATTATAGAGAAATTATATTGTACTCTTATTTATCAGAGATGAATACGAGACTATAGTGCTAGATTTATATCTACAACATAATCAAAATGCACATCACGTTGTTTAATGAGCAGGATGCTAGAAAGTACACGTGTGAATATATTGTCTCGTAATGGTTTTGCTTGCACAGTTTATATAAACCTGCACCGTGGCCGGTGAGTGATATCAAATGAAGACTAAGGCAAAAGGTGATAACGGAAGTACATTTTATGGTCTGAAGAAACGACATCAAATTCAGCAAACTAGGTAAGGACACAATTGTGAAATCCATGGATCATACATGTCACAGTTAATTCGATATTCAAGAGCCTGTTCCTATCATAACAATTTAATGTGCAAGAAGTTGTCAACTGACGGACAAACTCGTAACACATGGTTTCAAAAGATGCTGGTTGTCGAAAATTATGGTAAAGTTTTAGGTTTGTCATAGTGATCGAGTTGAGGAATATGCTATTTCTTTGCGTGGTATGAAGCTGGCGTGTCTGATCCGCGTTAGGTTGATTTTTGCTTCCGTTATTGTGTATATGTACATTGCTCTCATCTGAGCTTGTGACATTTCTTATTGGACTGGCCAAGGTTTACATGGCGGGTGTCGTTGATGAATCAGTAAACACTTGCTCTTCCGGAATACCTGATCTTATTATCCTTGTACTTTATCAGGAGTTTACCTATAAATCTTGCCTTTGTTAATATTTTACTCTATATTTTTTTAAATTTGAGTTTGGATTATGATTATGTTGACATAATGGTATTTTCTTGTTTTTTGCGCGGTAGTTTTGTTATCTTCGTTATATGAACAGGTATGAACTTGTTATACAGTGTCTGTCTGTAATTTAAATTCATATTAAAGAAATGGTACCTGGGCACGTATTGGAAAAAGGATAATAAGCTTTATACGAATTATCGATCATAACATTTGAGATACCACTGTCTCGTCGTGTTGTTGTCCTCTATTGATTTGAATTTTTCTTCATTTTCTGTAAAATAGCATACTCTTATTTGGATAATTTCATTTCAATTCGATTTCTTCAGCTAAAAACAAAACATGGTATCGCCCCCACGAAGATTTTACAGAAGACAAACAAGTTAATACTATACATCTTTCCATCCAAATTTAGGTACATCTTTGCCAAATAATACATGCAGTTGCTTTATCGTTTAATCTAGGAGAAGAATAGACAATATTGTGTGCTCATTAATCAATTTTGTAAGTTCTCCTGTAACCAGTTGATGCTGTGATACACGGAATCATAATATACATTTTTGTAATCGAAAGGTAATTATTTCATTCGAACTGTATCTTCACTACGTATTAACATAACCCTGTAGATGTTCATTATATGTATATTTATCAAATGATTGCCTTGATATTCAATTAATATACCCATGTAATGATTTTTGCTTTTTACGTACATGTGCATACATTCACTTGTACGTGTATTTGTAAATTAGCTTATTGTGACGTCAGTTTGATACCAAACCGAGGTTACACATATTTGTATTGTCACGTAACAATGAGAACAATAGATAAAGCCGAAATGACTTCAGGTTTGACGTAAGAATGTTTTCTCAAATATTAAATCAAAATCAGTTTGTTCCCATTTGTCACGTATTCATAACATAAACAAACAAGATGGCTAAAGTCTAACAACTTTTAATCCCAAAACGAGGCTCTCATATGATTACATATATGGCATCCCCCTTCTTAAAAAAAAGAAAAAAACATTTACCCTTATAAGAAATAAAGTTGTATACACTTAAAAGTGTTGTTGTTCTATATTCTACACTTCAGGATCACTTATTAGCCAAGTCCGTAATAAAGTAATCAACCAGTCCATATAATTGTTATATGTATTTTGCATGGAAGCTGACTTTAGGCACGTCATGTACTTCTGTGACGTGTCGCCTATGGTTCGACCCAGTCGTCACTGGCGATTCCAAATGGGTATACCCACCCCGATTGGAGGAATTTAACAATAATCTAGTAGAGCAAATATATACAAAATGAAATATATAGCCTTTTCTAGCTCAGGGACATTGCCTATGTCTGAACAATCACTTCCCGTGATCACGTACAACCTGTACTGAGAAATATATACAGGAAAAGAGTAACACTTAAAGAAAATAAAGAGCTAATTTAGATATATAGGGGAACAGAAAATAATAATTCAACAAAACCTGCAGTGCGCCTACTTGTTGAAAACGTGACAGACAGCCTAATTAGTGTTCCGTTACCGTATACAGCTAAACTACTTCTGCCCACGCGTTTACTAGACCGAGATAGCTTACACCCTTACTACCACGAGAATATAGACACCGACAGTACACCAATAATTGTCACGTACTCCTTACGTCTACACTATTCTACCTATACCCAGATTCACACACTAGCCACACAGCATACACAGGACTGCATGTGTGCTGACCCTTGAGCTCCCTTATTGCTTGAGTTTGTCATATATAAACTCCCTTGGTGCTCCCCGCTAGCGTCCTTACTGAATGTATATTTGGGTATACGATGAAAATACAAATGTAATTTTATCACATAACCGACCCGTTTTCCCATGTCATACGCCCATGTCATAATAATGGTAATACACATGTGTAATAAAGGTTTGGGGTCTGCTGATTGGTCAAAACCGTGTGAACGTATTCATACGCTCGCGCGCGTACTACTTTTATTTACTACGGCAACAAACTGTAGTAAGATATGGCTGACCAGATCAACATTGGCGACAAAATTTTTATTGATAAGAAGGGGACTGGTGTGGTGAAGGAGATAATCCTATGGGGGTTGCTGTATTTTATAATGTAGAATTGTGTGGGATTGACTTTCAGATTGAGCTTGAGCGCGATCGTATTGAAAAGGTGGTAGATCCCTCCCAACAGCAGACGACCGCTCCGGATGGCGGTCCTGTTGCCCCTGAACCAAGTGGTTTCGTTTCAATCAGAGAAGATGAGGTAGGAAGTTTATACAGGATCAATCAAACAAGAATACGTTGAGCAAAACTTTGTATGACATGAAACTTTTGTATAAATTTTTTTGAGTTACCAGAAATAAATGAAAAGCTATCATTGAAAGTGACAGTGACTAGCAGTAACTGTAGCAGTTAGGCCGAACCTGATGACCCGTGATTACGAGGCGAGTGACGTCATGTTACCAATATCAAGTGAATTTCAGCTGATTGCATAGTGGAAGTAAATCGTAGTTTTCTGGCGATTTTTCCATTTTAATTGGTTATGTGATAAATAGAATCTTATCAGCTCGTGACACATCAAATTATTGAACTCGTTTCCATAATACATTGACACTCATGCAAGATCCTCTATATATTACAATGGTCAAACCGTCTACAAAATATGGCAGTGAAAAAGGGAAAAGAAAACCCGTCCGTTCTCTCACGCGACACTGCCAAACTCCCCTGTTAGAGAAAACCCCGACTCAGCCTTAACCAGAGGGCGACTTCCCATCCGTACTATAAGACAAGTCGTCAGCATTTGTTATAACTAGCTTGGTTCCTAACCTTCTCAAAACGACCAGAACAGAAGGCCAGACACACCACGGTAACGGTGGCCTCAGGTCGATCCATGGGAGGAGAAAAAATACGGCTGTTTTGTAGTGTCTTCATAATAATTCATAACTGCTCCTCCCGCCAACTTGTTGTATGGTATGCTCCCTGAGCATGCGCACGGTAGAGAGAGCGAGACGGGAATAAAAATGTCAGCCATGATGATTCAATTCGTTGTTATAATCTGAGTAATCCGGTGAGAAAACTCAACAATTGGCGACGAGGATGGCGGTAAAAAGAACCTACACATTTAATTGGTGAGAATGGCGACTCCAGTTTCAACAGATATCGGTGGGATTCCCCAATTTGACTGTCATTCTGACCCAGCTTCAATTGGCGCAAGGTGGAATAAATGGCGGCGTTTGTTGGACAAAAAAAATAGGAACTGGTGAAAAGACCTAAAAAAATAATAAATAAAGAATTAGACGCAGATTCAGAGTAGCAATATAATATATCCAGATTTTAAAATGGAATTATTTCATTGACACCACAGCGATACAACAACTGGTGAGCTGTAAATGTACCAGATCGATCAATATCTTAATATTCCTGACCAGTTGTTACTGTAAAGGTCACAACATTTTTGTATTTAATGAAAGGGATTATATGACAGTACGTTTGTACTTTATTCCATATCATACGTTGTCTACGTTCTTTGCACTATTGCATGCTCTATTACTGTAATGAAATGCAATTTAAACTCATTCCTAAAATGTCAGTAATTATCAAAATTATAACATTGAAATGAAAAGACGTTATTGAATAGGTGACCCGATACCTTTTCAAGCTCGATTGTTCATTGAACCTTGATATTCTAAATTTAGGTGAAAGGCGCGTGCGTTTTATAAACATTTGGCTACATATTACCTATATATTGACTTTTACAAATGTATACACGAAAATGTCAAAATAAAATTTGTAATATACAAGTGACAATTATTTATCGAAATTGGTAAGAAAAAAATCCATAGAGTCGGTGATATTGAAACTTGCCACAGATTTTTCTGATGGGATCATTACACTGTTGAACATGTTTAATAAAACAACAGCGGGAACTCAAATATTAACAACAAACTGATAAAATCATACTTGTAAATCTACAAACCGATAGTGTTACATATTCCGCTGTGACCGATGCAGACAAAGAAAATGACGACAATTTCAAAGTTAAAGAATAATTAAGTATATACGTAACAATCCAAATGTTAATGACTGTGTGACAACTAAACAACAACTGATCTGAGTACGTCTTGTTGAATCAGAAGATGTGATCTCACGTGGATATTGTACAAGGTTAACTTCCGGAAAATCTGTAACTTCAACTCCAATTTAGGTCGTCTATTTTCTTCCCACGCTGTATTGGTTAACTGTGTTTCTGAAAGAGTCGTATTGCCACACTGAAGCCACAAAATAGCACAAATAACAGTGTACCGAATACATGTACGTCGAAACCTTTTTATTTTATCTTGTTCGGTAGAGAAATTAGGAGAAAATCGAAAATCGGCTCTGCAAATTATTGGTAAAAAACTGTTCCTGATTACCCACCATGAGAAATATTTAGCACAATCACTTCAGGTTTTCCGAAGTCGCTTCCAAATTAACGGGAATGCTGCTATTCGAAACCCCAATACGAGACTAACAAGGGTCAATTTTAACCTAGACTAGCCGTCTACTAACAGTAATGTCTTAATGATACATGTTAGAATAATCTTAATTTGTTCTCATTTGAAAACTTGTCAATGCGTAATTGGACTGACCAAGGTTTCGTCGATGAAGCAGAAGACATGTATATTTCCGAACGATTTGGTCTAATCTTACTCCAGTTTGATCTAGTTTCATCGTATTTGAGGTTATATTGATATGACGCCATTTACTAGGTTGTTTATTAGTTTCATGATTGCATAGTTTATAAGGGTACAGTTCTTAGTTATTTTAAACGGTCGTTCTCTTAAAATCTAAGGCTACGTTTTTCATATTCCATAGACCAGCTGTAGACCATAGACCAACTGATACCATAGACCAACTGGAGAGCATAGACCTGCTGGAGACCTAAGAACAACTGTAGACCATAGACCGACTGAAGACTATAGACCGACTGAAGACCTTAGACCAGCTGTAGACCATAGACCATCTGAAGACCATAGACCTGCTGAAGACCTTAGACCAACTGTAGACAATAGACCAACTGTAGACCATAGACCTGCTGGAGACCTTAGAACAACTGTAGACCATAGACCGACTGAAGACTATAGACCGACTGAAGACCTTAGACCAGCTGTAGACCACAGACCAACTGAAGACCATAGACCAGCTATAGACCATAGACCAACTGAAGACCTTAGACCATCTGTAGATTATAGACCAACTGAAGACCTTAGACCATCTGTAGATTATAGACCAGCTGTATACTATAGACCAACTGAAGACCATAGAAAAGCTGAAGACCTTAGACCAGCTGAAGAGCTCAGACCATCTGTAGACCCGAACCTGGTATGACTGTACTATTATGACTTGCTACACTTTGATAATATCAATTACAAAGAATGTAATAAAATATTGAAGAATTGCTGTTATGCACTTTCACGTGAAAACAGTTTCGAATTTCATTAAAAATGTATCACTAAGTACCATTGTCTTGTTAAGAAATCGGCGTTGAACATTAGGTTGTCAGGAAGTAGAACGACCAAAAATAGATACGAAATGTTGCTATCCGATTTTTTTTCACGACCTTGACATCTTGAATGATCAAATTAAGTTACGACACTTTTGTTTTAAACAGCTAACTATGTCAAATTCGGTCGTCTTCGAGGATGAATGGGCCAGAGTATACACTTTTGGCGTGTACCAATGCAAGCAAATGGTATTGACGATTTTGGCAGCCCTTCCGATGGCTTTTCATATAGTTTCCGTGATCTTCATTGGTAAATACTATAGTAAATGGATACGTAAATAGTTTCAAACAAATGACCACGAACAAGCAGCTAAGCAGCTTATATACTTTTAACACATAATGATTCACTTCTGAATCAGTACATAACATAAAATAAAGATATTCACATGCTGCTTTGCATTATATTTTCAGTTTTGTAACAGATGTTAATTGTTCTACTCGATCACGTGCTATTCCATTTAATATCGAGTTGCACTTTTGGCATTTTCATTTGGCCCACTCGTGCGAGCTTTCTGTGACAACTCCTCCGACCGTGTTCGGTCTTGTTTCTCTTCATAAATCAGTATATCAGTCGAAGCAAAGTGTTATTATTGTATAACAACACTTTTTTCTAAAAGTAATTTGAGATTTTGAAAAGTTGATTGAGAAAATGATATTGTCATGTTAGGCTATACACCAGAACACCAATGTTCACTGGATCTGCAGGAGAAACCAGCTGGTGGTATCAGCAGTGTAAATAATTCTATCAACACAACGGCTGGCACGTGCAGCATCTCCTGGCTGCGACAGAATGTAGACGGACAAGTCACTACCGAGGAAACTGCCTGTTTGTATGGCCACAATTACTCAACACCAAAAACTTACACATTTGTTACTGAGGTAATATTTCAATTTACAATAAAATTGGTTTTTTGTGTTGATTCAGTTTTTTTGTTTTGTATTTTAATTCCTTCTTTAAATCATGGATATCTAATTCTATTTTGATTTTGTTTGATAGTGGGATCTTGTTTGTGAGAGGGATGCAGTTGGACGATTATCGCAGTCTCTAGTTCTTGGTGGAATGTTTCTAGGTGCCTTGGCTGCTCCGTTGGCCGATAAATACGGGAGGAAACTAGTTCATGTGGCATTCAATATAGGCTTACTCACAGTAACATTCACCATGGCATTTGTAAAGGATGAAACCGTCTTCCTGGTACTTCGCTTCTTCATTGGAACGTTTCAACAAGTAAGAGTAAAAACATAACCATTTAATCAATTGGATGGAGGAAAACAAGTACTGTCTAAATCATTTGCCTTTTAATACAAATTTTAGTGCGATACAGTAATGGACGTGTTTGACGTTTGTTATTATTCCTAGTGGTTCTGTTGCCTTTACCCTTGATCTCATTTTGGCATTACATACTTTGGTTGTTAAGATTCCCTATTTTGCCTAGTTCCATCAAATTTCAGTTTAAATTAAGATTTTGTGTTGTCATGTAGGACGATGTTCAACGATCAGCTTTCTTTGACATATATATATATATATATTTAATTTAATGATGATGTACATATTATGCTATGAAACAAATTATTTCTATTAATCTTTCAAACCGACATTTATTCTTAATTTGACGTTATCTGGCGACAGTGAAAACGTATTTCTGAAAAAGAACAAGTATTGATTGTAACGAGAACCGTTACATATGTCCTCCAAACACCCTCGAAGTTGTCGTTGGTGTGCGTAGGATTAAATCGATTATAAAGATGTGATAAATATCGAGGAATATTGATATTTCACCTGAAAAGTCGTCTTTGTCCAATAAAAGAAGGAACATCATCATAGCTTTGTTGGACATTACCTATGAACCGATTTGCATATATGCAATATGTAATTTCAATAAATTTGAAGTTGTCTGTGAAAGTCATCTTGTTAAAGAAGAAAATAGGCCACATGATTGTATAAGTGATGTCAGACATAACCTATATACCATTTTTTAAACTGGACTAAATATGAACAATTCAGGAGCCGCTCTGCGGTAGCCATCTTGTCCATTTGGCAAACGAATGTGACTGTTGTGTTTCTATTAGGGAATAAAACCACACATTTACATTGAAATCGAATGATATCTAAATCCTAATCAACCAGATGTCGCTATGTCTTGTCCAATCAGAAAACAATAGACATTATATGTTTCTTGTGTAAAACCACACACCTACATATGTACATGTGAATGTTTATGACAATCAGAGGATACTTAAATTGTGGCCAACTTTTGACTTATCAGAAAGCGGTCGACCGATCACGTGACCGATCGAAAAACGACAAAGCGCACGTAGACTGCCTCTCATATACAAACACTCATGTAAACCTATATGAAATACCATCCAATAGGTTTTGAGAAACGTGTCGGAAATCTCGCTGGATAAAGTTATACCGTACAGAAAAATATCTTTTATAGATGACTTTACTCGTAATGCTTGCTTAGAATACGTTTCTTTCTCCATTTACCCCTTACCGTTGACACAACAGATAAGTGCTGACCCGTCTTCTCTGACATATTTTGTTTAAATTAGAACCGTCTGGTGTCAAAATGTTCTATGAATCAAATTTTCCAATAGAAACTCAGTATGGGATATATCAGCTGAAACAAAATCTAGCATGACAGCAAACGTATCTCCTAGAAACACATTCTTCAAGGTCAGGGATTGCTATAACAGTTAGGTGTCCATCATGTTCAAACTATGTTGCGCTTCCTTCCTATCTCTGTGATACAAAAGCTTTGTATGGATTTCGTCTACCAGGTTAACCTTCTCCCGGTGACTTGTGAAAACAACTATTGTTGTAACGCACAACGCACCAAAACCCCTTGCATATAGGCACATAGTATCTATCGAACAACTATGCAATAGGATGTTTTGAGGTTTGCTAAAAATGGTTGGCTAATAAAACGGATTGAAAATTAAACGGAAAACCCTATAGTTAAGACTATGTAGTGACCAAAGGTTAGTGAAAATAAATCGGTAATTTCAAAAGTCATTTTTCGAAAGTTAGTTCGAAACAGCATCAAACCTTAAATTCATTAGTCTTTCTGTCTTATAGATTCAAACCTCAGATAGTGGTGAGTAGCGTGCTTCGTGCAACCAAAATTACTTGCATACTTGACAGTTCCTGATCCCTTCCAGTCTCCCACGTAACAAACATAATACTTAAGATTTATCCGAGTACCAAGATTTAGGTTTTGTCCTTACTTTTCACCTTTTCTACGCAATTTTGTCGCTAAAATCGATCCACTTACCTTGTATGCATACCCTGGAAGCGTTTGGACGCCATTATATTGGTCTTCATCCATAAAATGTGTGCATATAGACAAAATAATTTTAAAAGATATTTATTATTTATATTGTTTAGTTCAAGTTTTTGATCCAGAGAATGGTGTCGCATACGGTGTTTGATTTGTCCTCATCTGTTGATGTAAATATTATACAATTTATGCATTGATAACCGTTTATTCATGGTGCTGTTTAAAGTACACGTGTCTGTTGTGGTATCTACAACTTGTTGATATTATTGTGATACAGAGATCATATTCTGGTTAACTGAACATTTAAATCTCCTGAAATACAATGTTGTACCTTTAGGTTTGAACGGTGTGAAAGAGAATGCATTGTTCGTTCGGTATGCTATATATGTATGTTCGTGGTGGTAAAGAACTTTGTTTTACATAAGTATATAAATTGGATATTTGATATTTTTGTTGTTGTATAAATAGCCTTTGTGACTTACAGGGAATGCTGTTAACCGTGGTGACGTTTTGGCTGGAGTTACTACACCGTGATTCCCGTGAAAACGTCGGTATTGTGAACGCTTTTATGTGGGGAAGCTCTGTCATGGTTCTCACTCTCGTTGCATTTCTACTTCAAAACTACGACTGGAGAATCCTCCAACTAGCATTGTCACTTTTTTCAGTAATTAGCATCGTAGAAATTTTGTAAGTATACGTATAATTGCACAACCGTTCTCTGGTATGTAAAATTATCTCATGGAAGCATTTTCACGTGAACCCGATTAGCACTTGGTACCTCTTGTAAACAAGTATACACAAACTACTATCTGTATCAGTTTCTTAAAAAATCACAACTTTCATTCGTCTTGTAAAAGAACTGATGGATGATATGTTTTGTGGTAAAAATATGATGACACACTCTTGCCCTTGAGTTTTGTTTGATGTTCGACATATTTTGCGGCTTGATAATCACTATGGTTTTAATGTAGCTGGCATCCGGTGCATTTACATTAAAATCATATATGAATTCATGACGATGCTTTTCTTCTCAAACATGTACATGCTCAACGCTTGCAAATTTACATGAACAGCCGTTTTTTATTGATTGGTAGTAACCTATAGCATCTGTTTGTTTCTCCAAAAAGCCTGATGGACGAATCGCTTCGGTGGCTCGTCGTAAACAACAGAAAAGTACAGTCTTCTGCACTCATTTCGAAAATATGGAAACAGAACAAAGTTCGTAATAGCAAGCTACCTGAAGGAGCTCAGAACAATCAAGAGCCCTCTATTTCGCTTACTGAATCGATGTTGGCTCTGCGGACTGACATTTTACCGGATCAAATCACTGACAAGGTGAAAGAAAAATGGTCAAAATTATTGACGGACAAAATAATGAGAAGGCATTCCATCATTATTTGGGGTGTTTGGTGAGTTTTATCCTTGTGACTGAACATTTTAGTAGGTAGTTGCACACTGTTACCTAAATGATTAAATCGTTGCACTGAACTTTCGTGATTCTTATTTTGGAAGTTATTTCCTAATTTTTAGTCATTTTGTTTAGTGTTGATGCCAGATGACATTCAGTTAGGGAAGAGTATGTTTGTTTTTATAAGTATGATAGCGGGACATAACTACTGCATAGTTGAATAACGTTTACACATCATATATATTATATGAGTATCTGAAATGAAATGCCTGAGAATCTACATCATTGATTGAATATTTATCTACTAGGAAATGAATAAATTATCCACTTACCGTATATTCGTTAATAATTATCATGAAAAAAAAAAAAAAAAAAAAAATACCACGCAGAAAATAATTTCAAATTAGTTGCCAGATCAAACGGTTAAAATTAAACGAATAAATGGGGAAAAGATGATGTCATAATGGCAATATAACGGTATACAATATTTACCTTATACACCTTATAATGATAAACGTCTTATGGCGAATGATGTTTTCAAACATATTGAGTTTGTAACAATATTAAGCACAATAAATACTACTTTTGTTAATGTACAGGGTAGCTAATAACTTCACCTACTACGGAATCGTGATGATGACTCCAAGTTTCGCAGGAGGTCGCTACCTCAATTTTTTCCTCGGAAGCACCTCAGAATTAATTGGCAATTTCATCTTATTTTTGTTCATAAAAAAGTAAGTGGCAGAAAGCTTGATTTACAATGGTGAATGAATTTTGTATCATTAGTTCCTATGAATTAAATTAATTGAACAAAATGTCTCCCTGTTAGTCGATAACCATGCAAAGCCTTGATGAGATTATGATCTATAAAGTAATGTAAATTATTGAAACTTTTTATAGAAAAGTGAAATCAATTGCTATGATAAAAATAGACTATATACTGTATTTAGACATTGGTTTTTACTGATCCGTCCATTAACATAACAAAAAAAGTAATCATTTCTATGTTGAAACTTGTTGATCACTTTGGTTCTGGTGGAACTGTTCCTTCTTATATTCAGATCAGTTAACAGGCAAGTGTTATCATTTATTTAAAAAAAGTATTCAGTTGTTGATTGTTTATTTATAAAAAGGGGGTAGATCTTCTCAATCTGGTAATACAATTATAGTAAGTAACTAGACAACACTAGATAAGGACGTCCGTACAAGTGAAGGTTGCATTAGGCGTTTATATCCTCATAGGCCAATTATTTGTTTGATTTAGTACAATACGTTCTTTCAGTGAAATATTTCATTTATTCTTAAGACGTCATTGGTTTGATATGTATACAATTGTAGGTTCACCCGTAAGACAACCATAGTTACGCTGCAGGCAGTAGGCAGTGTGGCACTTCTACTGACAATCCTCACGAACCATTTTGAAAGTGAGTTGAAAAGTGAAAGAAGATTGTTCATAAATATAGAATACGCCATTTTTTCTATAATATTAGATAAGAAACCCATAAACTGTAAAACATTCCATCAATATTTGACTGTCAGCCAGACATTGACTACGAACCACAGTTGAGCATCGACATTATAAATTCAAATACAATTTCAAATCTGGATTCTGAACAATATATCCTTTTTATGGGAATATCGCCGGAATATTTTTGAATTGAAAAGTGTTAAAGTTTAGATTTTTACTGAAAATGTATAACGGCAACTATACATTTCAGCGAACGACATAAATACTTATGATATGTTGATATTTGCGATTTCGCGAAAACCTTTGACAGGTAGTGTGATGAGGGTTGTTGAGATGGGGTTGTTTGCTGTTAGCCGAGGAGCGATATGTAACTCCTTCAATGCAATTTATCTGTACACGCCGGAACTTTTCCCAACAAATCTAAGGTAAGTAACCGTGTTTATTTAGAGGAATCTGTACATCACTTAGTGCAAAATATACAACCTGAAGACTGATATTACCAAATGCATATCACCTTCGGTTTTCCAGTCTGTTATTAGTTTCTTGATCTCTTAAATAATGAATAAAGACATCAATACTAATATTATTATCAGAAGACGAGTGCCATATCTAATTCGTCTTTGTCATTTACTGTTTGTAAATTAATTACGTCTCTCTTTACTAGGAATGCAGGCCTTGGAGTGGCATCTGCCGCAGGCAGGATATCAGGTTTCATAGCGCCCTTTACCGTCTATATGGTAAGTTTGTTTCAAATGATGATAAATTACCATTGGTCTCTACTTGAATTGTGATTATTTTGTGACTCGAACAGTGAGAGGTGTTAAAAGACCTGTATTTAAAACATTAAATGCATCGATGTCCGTAGATTTAAACTTTTTCGTAAAACATTAAGATACCTAAGCAATCATATTTTATAATGCAGATGGATGTGGCTTTGTGGCTTCCATCGCTACTTTTCGGTTCATTGTGTTTGGTATTCTGTTTCCTGATACGGTACCTACCGGAAACAAAAGGAAGAGAACTACCACAGAGGACTGAAGAAATCTGGGATTGGTACAAAGACGACCACAACAAAAAATCTGATGGAAAATAATAGGGAGGTTATACATTTTTTTCACGTACATCTACATTTTGTAGACGTTCTAAAAGAGGTATTAATATATTTCTTAAACGTGATTGATTGGTTGCTTACTTAGTAACATAACTAATTATGGTAAGGAACTGTCGACACTGAAGTGTTAAGGCTGCTAATCTATTGTGGTATATTAGACACTCCACAACCTCACATGTACCCGCATACATACACCACCACCTACCCTCACACCCTAAAACACAATCACACACACGCCACCACCACCTACACTCACACCCTAAAACACAATCACACACACACACACCACCACCAACAACAACAACAACACACACATAAACATAAACACACCACCACCACCTATCCTCACAACTTACATCGCAACACACACACACACACACACACACACACACACACACACCCTCACACACACATACACACACATACATACACACATCCTCACACACACATACACACACACCCTCACACACACACACACACACACACACACCCTCACACACACACACATACACACATATACACATACCCTCACACACACATACACACACACACACACATACACACACACACACACACCACCACCACCACATATATATACATATATATCACATTAATTATATTGCTTGTTTGTTATGCAATGTCAATGCCACATACAGATGTATGTTTGGCTCTTTGCTAACGAAGACTTAACGTGGTCGTTATAAACACTGAAATTAACATACAAGATAATAATGAAACTTTAACCACCACATAAAAAAATGCACATGTACCAAACACGTAACAGAATGGAACATTGGTTGTCCTTATCACAATGCTAGGATAAAAACCTTTATAACATACAGGAATGAACTAGTGTTTCTTTTCATTTCGTTTGTAGCATTGCTTGTCCCTCTCTTCTAAATTGGTTTGATTCATTAGAGAAATGCCAGAACTAAAAAAGATCGGCAATAAAATATAATCGTTTTGACCAATTCATATCTACTTGAAATGTTTAAGATGACAACAAAAAGGAATCAACCAAATCATTAATAATCAAACTCCTTATAAGAACTGAGATTACGAGAGATGACAGTACCATCGCGAGAAGGTTGTGAGAAAGCCCATGAAAGGAAGAAGACCAATTACGAGTTGTTGGCAAAGTTATGAGACAAAGGATGACCTAATGGCACTTTCAAGATGTAGAGGGGTTTCACACCCAATCTTCGTTGAGGATTGTGCAGAAGCAAGTTGGAGATAGAAGTTCAGGCATTAAATAATTGTCAGAAGATGCCGATAGTGCATCGTGCTGGCTATGACACCGACAAGACGGACCGATATTTAAGCTGACATAAACAAGAAGTGGTTGATCCACCAGCCAAGCGAATCTGTAGTTTAGAGTCGAAACATCTGAATAGGACTGGATCGCACCAGATGACGTTGATAGAAGCTTTACAACAGAAGGACACCTGTGACATACTATCTGTACAATTTAGATACTATAGATTTATTTCCAGCTATTTGCAATCAATGATGAAATAGCAGATCACAAAGTAATATAATAATGCAAATATACAAATAGGACAATGGCAAGCATCACTATTATTGAAATAGATAGAATAATATTACACAGTACATGCAATAACATCACGTTGGCTGATATAACACATACATCTGCACACAATAACATCACGTTGGCTGATATAACACATACATCTGCACACAATAACATCACGTTGGCTGATATAACACATACATAATATCACGTTGACTGATATAACACATACATCTGCACACAATAACATCACGTTGGCTGATATAACACATACATCTGCACACAATAACATCACGTTGACTGATATAACACATACAACTGCACACAATAACATCACGTTGACTTAGATGTACTAAGTCAAATGAAGAAATGGCATCCCTTGCGGTCACTCCTAGGGACACCGGACATAGGGTTTCTTGTGCATCTGAAGTCAATGAAGGCTGTTGTAAGACTAAGAAGGAAGTTGAAGTCATTCATAGTTGTCGCCATTCGAGTCGGCAAACGGGTATACATGTACAACATCAAAACTTGTTCTGGTCCACATTTAGTCCAGGTCGGTGCCACGGGTAATCATTGGCACGTTTAAATTTGCTGTCTACTTCACTTTGGCTCGGTAGAGTTTAGGATGCACGATATATAAAAATAATAGTTCCCGACGTTATCTCTCATTGTCTTCATTGTTGTTCATATGTGTAACAATGTTGTTGGTAAAGTCTGATATTTGTTTCTAATATACTTGACATGTGTATATGTGCATTTGGCAATGGATAGTTGTCTCGAAGTGGGTTGTAATAGGCAGTTGTCTCGCAGTTGGAAGTTATTTTGAGGTGAGAATAATAGGCGGTAGGGTGTCCAATGATAATTTGGCATTGTTTCCGATTTCCAGGTGTTAACATTCTTCACATTCAGCTCTATTGGCCACGCATTTGTCCAATGACACATGGCATTTATAATGTGTTATGGTCGTCTCTGTAGTTGTCGAATTGAAAAGAAATCGCAAGTCGGTAACCTTCGTGCTTAGGCACAATCTGTATCCTTCTCTCGATTGTTTTTGTTTTCATCTAAAGCAGACTTTATAGGTCTTGTCTAAACAGACAATAGACCTTCATTATCCCTCTTAAATATATTGATGATACATTTTTTTATGAATCACAAGACTGAACTGGAAATCAAGGACACAACAGACTCAACATCAGTCGCACACCAAGATAATTTCATACTCGTCTCCTTCAGATTGTATCTATAAACCAATGATTTTGTAACTTATAGTGAGCACCTTCCTCCGCTATCTTGAAAAGACCATTCCTTAACGGTTACACGACAGTGGTTATATTTTTTCTATTAATATGTTGCCCGTGTGTCATTAATTTAGGATATAAATTAAGTTCCATTATGTTGTCCTTTTTATGACAAAACCAACAGGCATACAGTACTCCAAATGTATCTATCCATACTGTCACAATATGATATATGCAACAAATGAAGATAAAATACACGCTTAAAATAGTTTATTATTGAAGGTATGGATTCATGTACATAAATACAAAATTGAGCTTTCAAAAAACAAACTTGTTATTTTGGGCAGATACATGTATATAGAATGATTGAGATGTCATTATTTTCCATTATACACGTCATACTACCTTAATCAGTGGCAATCATCTAACAGCATGTTTAATTCTGCAGTTGAGCTGTTTGGAATCATATAAAGTTACATGTAAATACATTGGGACTTTAAAGCAGTTGTCAATGTAACAATTGTCCTAAACCCACGAGATTAGGTCATTGTAATACGTTAATTATCTATAAACTATTTAAAATTTTGAAGATATAAAAAATAACAAAAGAAAAAACAAATTAGGACCACACCCTTAAATACCATTACATTTAAATGATTTACTACCTGGGCATGCATCACCATCATCATCATCATTAGAAATTGAAATTAGTCATAAACTTTAATTCAGATTAATTAATGTATAATGTATATTAAAAGATGATAAAAAATACTTAAAAATTTTGGAATGTAGAATGTGTAAAAAAAATAAATCATGTATGTTTTAAAATTTTGATAACTATAAATGGTTTATCAAAAGACAATATATATGAAAACGTGTCTTGTAAAGACTTGCTGCTGTGTGAAAAATATATATATTTTTCTCTATTATTATATTACAGGTATAAATTACAGAGTTAACCCGTATAGCCATTTATAGTATGATTGTCATGTTAACGAGTTCTAATCAAGTAATATTTTTGCGTATGAAACCATGTTATATGGTCTACCATCTTGATCCATTATCATGCCATGATAATATAATACCACATATTCACAAACTACACGCTAAAGTCAAGTTATCATTGAAGACGATTTATATGGTGCCAAAACGACTTCAAATTTGATTGATGGAAAAATGCTGAAATTTGCTGAAATAATTGTGATAGAAATTATTTAAAATTTTCCCTATAATATTTCCATCTCACCAGAGGCTCACCAAAATGGGTCCTATATAAAATAAGCCAATGCATGTCTTAGAAATCATATAACTTTTCTAGCACTGATATCAATATTCCTTTCAAAGATATGGACATGAATAAGTTGGAACATAATGCCAGAGAAATGTCAATTATTCATAAGCAAATTTTGCCCTCCTGTCAGATAAATTAAGTGAAGAGATTCAGCTCACGTTCTAATTGTCATGGGTGTTATGTGATAAACAAAATCTTATTTTCATATGGAAGTTGTATTACTTAGCAGTAGAAAGGCAAATTATAAAAACAGGTGCTCTTCACCTGTTATACAACATTTTCTGAAATTTACATGGTGCCTTTTAAAAGTCTGCATTTATACATTGTAAATTCTATAAAGTTAACTGACCTACCAACAGCTTCTTTTGGTATAGGAAGTCTAGTATTATCAAATCTTCCCTGGCCTGTACACACATGTAGGACCTTTGTTCTACTTCCAGTAAAATAAATTAACATAATACCTCACAACAAGTTTAAGGCAATGTCACATCTTATACTCAAAAAGATGCTTATAATATTTGAATAATAGAACTTTGACATAACTAATAGCACTTTGTGTAGCATATATCAGCAATCAAAAGTATATTAGTACTCATGATTGGTAATGACAATCAGCCTCAAACACATCAAACAGGTTGATAAAAGTTTGGGAAGGTTTTACAGTAATGGTCTCCAAGTATGAGTTTATTTCTCAATGATAGCAGAAATGCTTTTATCCATCTTCTCCCATTTTTTAAAAAATCAAATATGACTGGTATGGAAATGATAAAACAAAAACTACAAATGTTCATTGGATGACCAAAGTCAGTCATTTCATCAACTAGTATATTGCTTACATAATAATAGAATCTGGGGGATTGAAATCCTTACATAAATACACTGTCACTGAGAGGATTTAGTTCTTAATGTATGTGAGGAGATGATAGGTGATAATTCAAGGGATTTATGTGATGCCTATTCTGGTTATTTTAATCAATCTAAACTAAGTAATATAACAGATCTGACTGATTCAATCAACATCCTTAAAATATTTCTTTTCAGGTGATATTTGAAAATGTTAACAATGTTATTCTAGTAAGAATAAAAACATACAAACTCATGTACAATGTATATGTTACAGTGTTAAAATAGCCCTACACATCTTGTTTAGATGTAAGCAGACTGCCATTTTGATAGAGCTACATATATATATATGACGTCCTATTACAACTTCTTTTTACTCCTGGTTACTCGACCCTCGACCTCCGTTGTAGTAGTTTTAACACCTCCAACTGAATCAGTGATTGTAGTAGTTTTCTTTGTGGACACCTTGGAGAAGGTGGTGGTATTGCCTGCACTCTTCTGAGCACTAGAGGGTTCTAATCTGTCAAACATGATGCCATCATGATATGTGCTGAAAAAGAATTCTTGATCAGTGTAGCATCGCCAGGCAAACAGTTGTGGTACAACCAGCAGCAGAAGGTTGGCATACCAAAACACCTGCCCATGGCTGTCGTAAATGTCAGTTGGTGAACCAAATCCTGCTGCCACTGTACGCCAGTGGAAAGACGCTAGGATATGAACCACTTGACTCTGCAACACAAAAAGCAATATTTCATTTCCATGTAACTATCCTTGTAAAGATAATCAGCAAATTTGTTTTATAATCAGTAACAAGATGCTTCAAAATACAAATAACTTATCCATAGAATTCATCAGACCAATTACACAAATATAAATGGAAGTGTGACCTGAGTAGCAGCGCCAGCATGAAGGATTGCCCAGTCAGACATCCACGTTTCTCCGGGGTTTACCAGACCATAAATGGCAGACACATAGTATGGCACAAAATAAAACAGGTAGGTCAGCATCTAAAAAAGGAGGAATTCAGCTAATATCATTACATACCATACTGAAAAAGTACCTTATTGATGGTACACAAATTACAGAGGGACATCACAAAACAGAATAAGCTTAAATAAGAAATATCATGAAGATGGGGGTTGGTGTCTCACAACAAACAATTTTTCTCAGCTTCAATACAAGTATTATTACAGATTCTTATTCTTTATTTTTGTCTGTTTTATCCCTAGATATTTCTAAGTTAAATGTTATTTGATGTTAGCTTATAATATATCACACACAATTTCTATAATAAAGTTTACCTGTATTCGTGAGAACATATTTGGATCATTGAGGTACGGTTCATAATTCTTCAGGTAAGCTTTGATGTATTCATGATCACAGCCTAAGGCTACCTGTAACAGAGAAGCATTTATCAAACACGGGTATTGGTACATGTTGTAAACTGTTACCCTAATGTAGGATGTAAAAAGGAAATGCTACCAAACATTCAAATTGACATACCTAATTAATAACAAGGGGCCTAGCAGCCTTGACAGTCACCTGTGATACGCAATACTGAATATAAAAGTTAAAGGGCAAGTAGCTTTCAAGTGTTATGAAAAAGAAATTGTGACATTGACAACAGTAAGCCAGTGTCAATGCAAGCATACCATCAAAGCTGTCATCCTATACTAACAGTTCTTACAAAGTTATTTCCAGTGGGAAGTAAACAACATTATGCTCAAAAATGCAATTCTTATATCAAAATTATAGTTTAGTAAACCTCCTCCTAAGGAAGAAATGTAAGACCCACTTTGTTTATCAAAGAACTTTACGATGCTTCCAGCAATGGAGAGCATTTGATCCTAACATACCATGGTGTTGAGAAGAAGATTTTTGAAATCTGAGTCAATTTGACCCCTTTTGACCCACCCATCAGCCCCTTGGGTTCAGCCAGGTTCAATATATCATAAAATCTAGCCGATATCCTTCGCTCTTATTTTTTTTCCTGTATACACTATAGTAACTTTTAACCTTTCCCCACGGGTAAATGCGACACCCTGGGGCCATGAAATTCATAGTTTGGTAAAGCACCTTAAGACCCTTTCATTAATGAAGAGCATTTGATACTACACTATATCTGGGTGATGAGAATATTTTTGAAATAGGAATCAATGTGACCCCATTTGGCCCATCCTCACAGGTAATGCGAGACCCTGAGGCCTTGAAATTCACAATTTGGTCACACACATTAAGATGTTTGCATCCATGAAAAGCATTTGAGTCTACCATATCTGGGTGTTCAGGAGCAGATTTTGAAATTTGAGTCAATTTAACCCTTTTGGCCCCGTCCCTCGGGCCCATGTGGGGTGGTGACTGTATAATTCACTATTCTGGTTCACCATAGACCAGGGAAGGTTTGTGTATGGAAGCACGACAACAGACACAGGTGATCGCAATAAGTCACCATGAGACTCAGGTGACCTAATAAAATTTTGCAGATGATTTTTGTTTTATTTCTGAAGTATACTTACCACTCCTCTAAACAAGGAGAATGCAATTCCCAAGACAAAACAAACAATGAAGACAAAGTCCCATGGTCGGTTTAGTAAACTCAACTCGTGCCCTGATTTACGCATTAACTAAAAAGAAACGATAAAAAACAAATACCAAAATGATTATTCAAAATCACTGGAAACTTTTTCAATGAAAATAGCAAATGTTTTCATTCACCAAAATTATGACTCAATTAACATTTATGAATTTTATTTTACTTCATTATTCATATATATCCATGAAATTAATATAAAATTAACACATGGTATAAAATATGTGAAGTATCTTATTAGTTTATGACTCTTATAGATATAATGATAATCATAACTTTTTAAATTTTATTTTTTTGCCATGCAGTGATACTTCCTTGAAAATGCTATGCATAGTTACGAATGAAGAGATATCCTACCCGTAGTTGGCTTCTGGTTTTGTTAGACTGTCGAAGGAAACGTAAACCTGCCCAGATAGGTACAACAACATACGGGACATTCAGGAGATAAGAACCACGAACCTTAAATGTACCTAAATATAAAGAAAGTTGATCTGATTTTGCATCTAATGCATGCTGATAATTGTTAGTACATTTACTAACAAGTGGCCAAAGGGCCTTAACACTCACCTGAGTCACAAAGCTTCTTGTAACATATGTTATAGAAATTATTTTTTTTAAAGTAAGATAAATTTAACTATATTGTATACATAATGCAAATGTACATTTTGTATATATATTTACTGTTATCCCATTTTAAGGCTTCTAACCAAGTTTGAATGAAAAGAAATTACACTTAAGATTTGAATTTTCCTAAATAAAATATTCCATTCAGGAACAGTAGAACATCTATAAAAATTTAAGTCAATTTGACCCATTTTTGAGCCCACCCATCAGCCCCTTGGGGTCAGTCAAGTTCAATATGTGCATCTCATCAAACTGTCAGCTTATACTAATGCTTCAACTAGTATGTGACGGTAAACTCTCACATTGATTATCCTATTATCCACTGAATTTATGTGATATTGTATCAAATATTTATCAACACTCATTACATTATATTTTGTTGTAATACATGTGCTTTGAATATTACCTAACAGTGATGTGATGATGGTTCCTATTATTACCATTGTAATGTCATGCATTGAAGCTTCCTTGGGTCATATTATGCATTCTGAAATTACCACAGAACAAGATAAAGAGTGAAAATATCACCCTTTAAAATCTTGTATCAGTCTAATGAAATACATGTATACTGTTTTTGTGAATGTCTGCATTAATGTCTTAAGTTACATGCAGAATGTGTGTGCTGGTGACATTGTACAACAAGTTCACTCAGTTTCATATCCATATCAATGAATTTCATAATCTTATCTGAAACGGAAACTCACAAAAGACCCTGTACCTGTAAACATGTATGTAGATAATAAGTATGCTTTATAGACCTACCTGTCGCACCACCAAGTAGTAAAACAATCATACTGTTTCCAATAGACCCGACCCAGTAAAGGCACACTTCATGACAATTCATCCTATAAACGACCAAACATGTACACGAACAAACAAAATAATTACAATTAAATATACAAATGGATCAGATTTCTCATTTCTAACATGAAGTGAGTAGATCTTGTGTTTTAAACATTCTAATTTCCTGATGTTCAAATCATCTTGCTTCAATTTCTGGAGTTAATAAATACAGTAATCGTTCAATTCTGTGTTTTAGGTTTGGTTTTTCAAACAATAATTTTACTATATGCTTACATTGTTCAGCCATAATCTTATTTTAGCTCTTTCCACAATGAAGGTATTGCACTAAAATATGATTGCACTTAATGCAGTTTATATATATACAGTGTATATAGAAATTACTTGAGGAAGCATGAATTTTCCATTGAGCCAATCTATCAAAGTGTGAGTCTGAGCTGAGTTTTGCTCAGGCCAAATTGTACTTTTACAATACATGGTAAACATGATTACTGTTCAAATCTTCATCCTGTAATACCTTAAATTTTTAGACAAGACTTTTGATGTTACACTTTCATTATTTACCTGTTAGCAATGAGTGTAATCAGAACCAGATACATAGCATATTGTCCAGTGCCATCCCACCAATTTATCATGGTTCCATGTGCTGTCCGCAAGTATGGCTCCCCCTCTTTGAAATAAAACTCCATAAAACCAGAAATATGACCATCCAGCTCTAAACCTATGATCAAGTCAACACATGATGTGAAGGCAAACACACTCCATGCTGGAAAATAATAATAAAAAAATTAACAAATATTATTTATGCAATGCTAGAATTGAGGCTTAGAATCAACATCACATCAATTTTTTGTTATCATTTTGAACTCAGAGCTCCCCATCATCAAGGACCATGCTATCAATGATTTTTTTCTCAACTGTAATGTGTCAATGCTATTTCCATCAACATTCTGATGAGGCATCATCAAGGACAATGCTACCAATGATTTTTTTCTGCTATTTCTCTCAACATTCTGATGAGGCATGTGCTATTTCTCTCAACATTCTGATGAGGCATCATGCTACCAATGATTTTTTTTCTCAACTGTGATGTGCCAATGCTATTTCTCTCAACATTCTGATGAGGCATCATCAAGGACAATGCTACCAATGATTTTTTTTCTCAACTGTGATGTGCCAATGCTATTTCTCTCAACATTCTGATGAGGCATCATCAAGGACAATGCTACCAATGATTTTTTTTCTCAACTGTGATGTGCCAATGCTATTTCCATCAACATTCTGATGAGGCATCATCAAGGACAATGCTACCAATGATTTTTTTCTCAACTGTAATGTGCCAATGCTATTTCTCTCAACATTCTGATGGGGCATCTTTTGATCTGGTAACTGCTTATGAAAAAGCCGAAGTAAAGGTCTAATAGTCACCATATACTTCATATGTTTTGAAAAGATTTGGGATTACAACAAAATATGATAACGGTAATTACAGTCCAAAGAAATGTGTCTACTACTGGCAACTGCCTGTCAATATCTGACGCCATTCTGGTTCATCAACTGGATTTGCCAGTATACAAGCAGAAAGTACAAATTTAGGTGATCATGACATGCACACTTTCAATTATATTGACTATTTCTAAATAAATTGTATTACAGTAAAACACTGGATTTTTAAGTATGGTTTAGGTTGCAAAATAATGTTTTGTGGAGATCATCATCATATGAAAGCTCTAGGAAAGATTCTGACACTTTGTTCTGTAAATCTCTGTTAGCAATACAGTGTATAATAAACGTGTACAGGTCGAAATCGTTACTAATTTGAGAAAAATATAGCCTGTCTTAGAAATAAATTATTTTCGTCAGATATCTTCATAAAATACATTTTAGTGCAATGATTTAACTTGATGTTATAGCAAGTGAATGGTCTCTGAAAACTTGAGATTCAGTGGCATGCATTCGGTTGTGTAATGATGTACATGTGCTATATCAAGTTATATTAGTATTGTTGAGTTCAGTGTATACATGTTCACAAGCTGACATTGTACGTGTATATATACGGTACTGGTAAAATGTTTTGAAGCTGACAAGGACTCAGAAGGAAACAGTAAAAGTTTTACCGAAGAAAAAGGGTTCTCCGTTTAGTCGATGATTTCTGACGAAGGTGTAAGCAAGCATCATAAAAGAAAACAATGTTATGATGCCGGCAACCAGAATCAGTCGGTGGTCTCCCATCGAGGTCGTCATGTTAAGACAGTAAGTCAACGGAAATGCAAGAAATGATCCAACAAGTACTTGCAACGTTGGTTTAAAATCCATTTTTCTGAGTGTAGCCAACTCCATTTTCAATGTTTTGTTTGGACCGATGGCTCCCGGATGCTGTCTCTTGATCAAGGAACTTCGAACAAGTTAAGACAAGCGTCCGTGACTCCGAGGCGTCAGCAAGTGAGTAAAACAAATGGACCGGAACTTTCTACCGGAAATGTTATTAAATCCAGAACGGGTTTCAATGGACCATGTTTTATTATTAGTTCCTCCGTTTTATGTTTCAAATAATTCCCAAATATTTTCAACCCTCAGTACAGGCGCGTTCGATTATAATGAGAATCGTTCTGAACCACCCGGACAGTTTCAGCCGCGTTATAGAAAAGCAGCCTAGCTTAAACAAAGTTGTCATAGTTGCTCAAACGTTTGAAATGAAACGAAATGCTTGGGGTTAAACGACTCTGGACCAATGGAAGATATTATTAAGTATGATTACAACTAATGTATTCGCGTCTTATCATATGCCTAGAGTAATGAAGCATTACCGGATATATCTACCCTTTTGGTTTCGATTTTACTTTCGCTTTCACTTTCATGGGGACGCTTGAAAAGAACTGGCACGTTTGCAAACCGCCTCGCAGCTTTACCTACAGGCATACATGTACCTGTAGGTAAGACATGTAATTTAGATAAGTCAGTAAAAGAGGTAGCTACAAGACACATGTAGACAAAATAGAGAGAGTCCAAAGAGCAACATACATGTATAGAGAAAGAATGTATATCCCACCACCTACATGACATGTACAGTAATGCAGTAGCGCAATAGGCCTAGTACATGTTACACATTAGGCCTAGTACATGTTACACATATACAGCTTGCAGGAAAATGTTTTGAGATATGGTATAATTGTCCAAAATAATGAAAAGGGATGTCTTGTAAAGAGTATCGCAAAGCAGTTGTGCTATGGAAAGACGTCGCTGAACATCGATAGCAAAAGGGAACCCCCAAAGAAAATGTTTCCAAAACAAATTAAGTACATCTACATTGTAACTACATGTATTTTTCAATAACAACTGTAAATATTTGAAACTAGAAGGCCTAAATATAATTAAAACATATATAATGCATAGTGTAAAAGAGTGGATGAACGTGGTTTGTACATAATGTACATAGTATTAAGTGCAGTATGTCTTTGTCACTCAGCTGATAGAGCATGCTTCTTTGGCGCAGTTGGTTGAGCCAGTAAAGTAATATGCTGGAGACCTGGGCTCAATTCCTGGTTGGGAAACTTGACAGGAATGTATACTTCCACTGCTCTTTCACACAGCCCAAAGAAATCCTAAAGATGGTGGTATTTGGAGTCTCAGGTTGTGATTTAGGAAACAATAAGAAAAACAGGTGATACTGTAAATATGAAAGAAGAAGGAAAACACACACATGAATATATTATTGTTATATATGCAAAGTGTGCTGCTTTTTAAAAATTTCTGTGTGGCATAGTGACTTGGATTGTTTATCGAAATTTGTGGAGCATGTGGACTTATTTCTTTTTATGTGCTGCAAATAACTAGCTGTTCATTGTTTAATCATGGTTTGATTGACATTTTACTTTCATAAATGCATAGTTACCTTTCAAATACAAATAAGTTTTATTATAAACTACAATATGCATAATAATGATATTTCTAAACAAAAAAAAATCTTTTATCTTTTATATACTACCTCAATATTTACTTGGTCAATTCCCACATTTGTGAATTGTTTTAGTAGAAAGTGTCTTTAATAGAGTGCATATACTAGATTGAGTGCCTGGTAGCTATTTTTATAATTGTCACAGGTCAAATATAACAACAACGAAATTGCCTGCCATTCATTTATTGGGCCTTCCCGTGAACAGCTATAGCATGAAACCCCTGAAAAAAATACACAAATTGCTGGATAGTACTATGACATGGTGATATGTTACGTAACATGTACATTTTAATTTACTGTATACATATCAAGTCCAATTCCGGGAATGAAAGTAATTGAAACGTAGATTATAATATTTACCTTCCAAAACCCCGTTGGTCTGGTAAAGTGCTTCATTCTGTACACATTTCGTACTATCATGCGGGCATACGTAAAAGGACCCCAGAGGATACGTCCGTATATATGACAGTCCTGGCTATAGTGCGCCGGGCACGCTGTGTAAAAGGGTTTTTATTATTTCACTTCCATACTCCACTCACCATTGCATGCTTTTTCACAACTCCTTGAACCCTAATTTACATTCAGGACAAAAACAACACCAAATATGGACAATGACACCACCACCCTGACACGACACGTGTAACAGGAACTTCCCAACATAGTTGACTAACATGTACTGACAGACAATGATAAGACACTTTACTAAGTTAATAGTAATTGAACTACCTGTCACATAAAGAATGCCAGTAAAGTTAATGGTGATATTATGTACAAGCGTGGTATGCAGAAGATTTTTTTTTTGTTTACAAAGGAATTTTGTGTGACACTTACTCAGGGAAGCTAATACCTAACACTTGATTGTTGATAATGAATATTAAAGCTAGCAATATTTTCATGTATTTTTTTTTCTATTATCAACAGGAAGCAACAATGAAGAGAAGATCAAGCAGTTCCTTCAAATCTCCAGTAAGCAGTTGAATAAGAGAGGAAGTTCAAAGAGTGTGCTAAAACTGGTGTCACAACTCTAAGATCTTTTAACAAATTTATGAATATTACATTTAGTGGATTTAATATTATAAAGTCATACACAAACATGTAGGTTATATCATGAACCGGCTTATTTGAAGAAAATTGTATACAAAATACTTAAGTCTTATCTTTTTTTGCAGTTTTAATCTGCTTTTAAATACAAATTAGAAAAAAATAGTATGATATGAAAACAAACTGCATGTGTGAACTACATTCTGTTGTTTACCTATATATAATATATCTATACATATATATAAACATTTGCACCTTTAGATTGTTTTTTTATCTTTTAAAGCAATTTATTGTACACAGGTAAGTGCATAATGTTGAAATATGATTGGCATTTCATTTATGATAAAGATATAATGATTGAATTGACGACTAAAATGAAAGATTTTTTGTGTTTCCTCATGTTGTGCAATGCGTTTTTAAAAGGCACATGCACAAAGATGGAAAATGAAAAAAAAATCTATAATGAAAAGAATCAAACATTTAGAAGTATTGCAAATTAAATATTTATATGGAATGCTTTACATATTGTGTAGTTACATAATCAAGCCAGCAACCAGAAGAAAACTGTCCTGTCTCACCCAGATGTACTGAGGAATGAGATAAAGAAGCTGGAAGAGACCACAAAAAATGTGCAGAAGGATATTGACAGTCTCAAGAATAGGTAGAGTACATCTTAAGTAATTTTCTGTTAAGGCCTATTGTAAAAGAAATCAAAAGTACTTGTGGGTGGAAATGAGTGTGCATTTTTCATTGAACAAATAGGGAATGATTCAACATTCAGAAGTTCCATCCAAAAATAACATGAAAATTAGATAACAACTCTAGACTTTCAATATTTGCCATAAACATCAGGCTAGTTTGTGATTTGTAATCTTTATGGACTTTTGAAATAAAGCACAATACTTGTATTATGAATTTAAAAAATGTCTCATTCTGATGTTACTTACTATTTTAAATAATGAAAGAAATATACTTGTTTGATGTGATCTTTATGATACCTCACTCTCATGACAGAATAACACAATAATCATGTATCAGAAGTAAAAAGTACATTCTCTTGTGTTGACACCTTGATTTGTTTGTGTTGCTATTATCTGTATGCTTGTATTGACACCTTGATTTGCTTCTGTTGCTATTATCTGTATACTTGTGTTGACGCCTTGATTTGTTTGTGTTGCTATTATATGTGTGCTTGTATTGACACCTTGATTTGCTTCTGTTGCTATTATCTGTATGTTTGTGTTGACGCCTTGATTTGTTTGTGTTGCTATTATATGTGTGCTTGTATTGACACCTTGATTTGCTTCTGTTGCTATTATCTGTATGTTTGTGTTGACGCCTTGATTTGTTTGTGTTGCTATTATATGTATGCTTGTATTGACGTCTTGATTTGTTTGTTTTGCTATTATCTGTATACTTGTGTTGATGCCTTGATTTGTTTGTGTTGCTATTATATGTGTGCTTGTATTGACACCTTGATTTGCTTCTGTCGCTATTATCTGTATGTTTGTGTTGACGCCTTGATTTGCTTCTGTTGCTATTATCTGTATACTTGTGTTGACGCCTTGATTTGTTTGTGTTGCTATTATATGTATGCTTGTATTGACACCTTGATTTGCTTCTGTTGCTATTATCTGTATGCTTGTGTTGACGCCTTGATTTGTTTGTGTTGCTATTATATGTATGCTTGTATTGACGTCTTGATTTGTTTGTTTTGCTATTATCTGTATACTTGTGTTGATGCCTTGATTTGCTTGTGTTGCTATTATCTGTATACTTCTGTTGCTATTATCTGTATGATTTTGTGTTGATACTTTATTTTTTGTTGTTGACATTATTTGATTATTCTACAGCATTTTCTTGTCAACGTTATTTCCATTTGTTTTCTTGGCTTTTTCTCCATATATAGATATTGATATTATCTCTGTGTACTTGTATTAGTATTCTGCTGTATGATTTTGCAGGCATTACTTCTCTGTGTTAGTCTTTGCATGTGTGTATAGTTTCTTGTCCCTATGGGTAATGAGTATTACCATTATCTGTTTACAATTGTTTTTATACTATACATATATACATGGCACGTGCATTTCTATTTGTTTGGTTTTCTTGCCATGAGCATCTCTGTCTGCCTGTATGGACAACATTCTTTGGTATGCTTGTGTTGGCATCATATTTTTCTGTTTATGTAGCATCATGTGTATGTGCTGGTGTTCTCATGTGTGCTTTTGTTGACATTGTATCAGTGTATTTACATGTATATCTGTATGTTAAAATGATCGTCATTGTGCTTCTTTTGACATCCTTCTGCTTTTCTTGGTTTTATTTCATCGTGCCAGTGTTTGTGTATATCTTTGTTTTCTGTTGATATGACAACTATGTCAAGTATGTGTCAGTTTTAGCACTATCTGTTTGACAATGTTGATATCATCTCACTGTTAGCATTTTTTTTTATATCTTTATGCTAGTGTTTAAAAAGACGTTTCAATGCTTTTGTTGCGTGTCAATTATTTCATTCATTTAGTACATGTATACCCTAACATTGAGATGATCTGTTTGAAAGCATTGTTTCTGTGTGATGCGTTAGTACTTCCATGATTATGTTCAATAGTGCATATGTAACTGTATGCTCTTGTTGCCATAATTGTCTTTGTTTAATTGTAGTATTAACATTCCTCAGACAGAATGTTTGTTGGTTATACCTTTTTATACAAAGTTTTGTTTATCTGTGATTTTGTCGCCATGTCAACTACACACATCTCATTAAAACAACAAAGAAATATTGTCATAGGAACAGAATCTCAATTCAAATTTATATTCAATGAAACTAGCATAAAATATGAACAGAAAAAAATATGAAAGACCCATTAAAATGTAGAGGTTAATGATTCAAGTTGCCTGGAAGTCTATTAAAGTATCTTCTACTCCATCGAAGACACTCGCCATGTAAATCTTGATCAATCCAAGTAAGTAATGTCACGTTCTGATATGAGAACAAGGTATTTATCCAATAATGGGACCACCAGGCAAAAGAGCATTAAACATGTCTTACTTTATACCACACTAAGAAATATAATGTTTCTTATTGAGATAATTATAACAACCATACAACATCATTAAGTATTTGTGTTATCTGCTAACCAAGAAGTTATCTGTTTGACGGTATTGACATTATCTCTGCTAGTGTCAATATTTGAGTTATAGAATTGAGGTACTTTGCATTTGTATGTTAGTACTGATATTTGTCTACTATGTATTTGTCTCACCTTTGACGAAAAGTTGCAGAAGCGAGACTATATATAATTACATTTCCGTCTACGACGGCATTGTCAATGTTTCACTATACTGTTTGAAATTGACATTTATACCCATTGATGGACAAGCCAAACTTTAACAAAACTTGGCACATACAATGCATACCATATCTCCAAAATCAATCAATTGCAAAATATCTTTCAGATTTTATAGTCTTTCAACTCTGATATTTAGGGAAGTCGAGAAGCTGGACTGTTAAGTTTTGTATTTAGCTCTGGTTTTCATAAAGTGACAGTGTTAATCAAACTAAACTTGTGGTACAGTTACATTGTAGTATGGATATCTTAGCCCAATAAAAACGTAACATGAATTTTGTTTCTCTGCTATATTGGTATTGATAGTCAAATTCAAACAAGGGCTATAAAACGATAAATTTAAGTGTATTTTGCAAATTTGAATGTTAAATTTTCATTTAAATTGCAATAATATCATTAAATGATAAAATATCTACATGTACCTATCATTGGTTAAAATCGGCTTCTTTCTTTAAGGTGAGGGATGCAGTAATGATAAATTTAAGTGTATTTTGCAAATTTGAATGTTAAATATTGCCTTACGAACAAAGTGGAACTAAAAATGAATGTCATTCTGTTTGTTGATATTGTTCTGCTATGGAATAGATTACTGGAAGTCGTCTTCAAAGCACAGCTGAATATGTACTTAGGTACAACTTTGTGATTCAGTGTGGTTAATGCTCGTCATTCAATTTTATCCATTTGGTCTGAATTCTTTGATGGCGGCTACTGATACTACAAGATTTTATGAACTCTAAATCCTCAACCATTCCAACATCTTGTTGTAATTACCAGTATTTGTCTCTGTTAGGAAGTTGTTGTTATTTCATCTGATATTGACATAACACATTACACTGTATTTGTAGTGTCACATACTGGTATATGTCTGAGTGCTTGTCTATATATATATCCCTGGTACAGTGATGAATTCAACAGTAGCTACTTCACTTCTATACTATGTTTTGATTGTTCCAAAGTGGCTTTGATGTGGCTGAACTGACAACACACATGGATATGATGCACCATTATAATGAAATCAAGGATGTGGGACAAATGGTTCTGGGTAGGATTGGTGAGTTATTTTAAGTACTGTATATGACAAAAAGTATTTCCGAAAGACGACTGACTAGTATTAGGAAATGTAATATTAGTGTGCCCAGTCTTCACAGCTTAAGCTTCTGAAAAAGTCTATTATTTTTCCATGATTTTTATACCTATATCTATTTTGAATCATTGAAAGAAGACAAATTTTAAAGTGGTAAGTAATTAAACCAATGAATGATCCAATGTTTGTATAATGACCTTTAGTGTCACCCCAGAAGTTTATTGTTTAATTTAACATATTGAAACCTCACTTCATGTTAGCAATACATTTTATATAAGTTTTGGAAGTATTGATTTAAAAAAAAAAAAAATACCAAACCAAACAGAACAAAATCTGCCCAGAGTTGTTGAGCTGGTTTGATTTCTAATGAATGTTTCGCACGGTTATTTGTTTACTTTCAAATGGCATTCATTGTCAACATTAACTTATTTCAGTAAACAAATTCATGTGTTTTTCCAAATTAATTAGCAAATGACTTTTGTTATGTTATTTCCAGCTGAGCTTGATGGCGTGAGAACACGAGACTTGTATAAAGAATATGGGCTTGACATCAATGATTGAGAGACTTCATGAAAAACTATATATCTTGACATGTGAAGTATGACTTCTTAAGGCAGATACGACTAGGTCATCATCGACAGAGTGGTTTTCAAGCTCGATTTAAGATACTTGTATCATGTTGATTGTGCGATGCCTATCTGCTATTCGATTGCGATGGGAGTTTTAGAACAGCGTTCAGTTTACTTTGGGATGCATCAATATCTATATATAATACATCTCTATACAAAAAAGAGTTGGAAATGAAATCAGTAAACAAGACAAAGTGTTTAATTTGTTCAGTGTTGAGTAATGGAATTGATCACAAAGATATTAGAATTGTAAAAATTATTTCTTAAGAGACATATATAACTAGTTACAATTATACATATATATTGGTCTCTTTTATTGTCCATGGTTGGAAAACAAACTTTAAAGTATATAATAGTTTGTAAAACAGCAACAAGACTGAAAATCATTTTAAGTGTATTGTACTTGGCCTTGAATACTTACAGCCAATAAAATACAAAAGTGCTTTGATTGATTTGGACTTTCAAGAGAAGGCAAGACAGATATTACAGGTAATTCAGAGAGATCAATATTTGGCAATGTTGTATTCATTCATTAAAACTTGATGTAATGAATATTGGCAAAATAAATAAAACAGACCAAATATATTCACGATTCCAAAATGATTATCTAAAGCTTGAAATTGGTATTGAGTAAGCTACATGTAGGTTGAAGGAAATATGTCGAAATAGAGTCCAAAAAGTGTATATACATTTTTATACTTCGAATATGTAGATGTGAAAACGTACACAATACTTTTTGTCAGAAAACAACAACATTTTAATGCTTTACATATTAATGAAAATTTGAAGTACACATTGTCAATTTGTCCAAATTATGACGTTTTGTCCAATTGTGATCACCATATATTGGAAAGCACTGGATGGGTATTTCTTGAATATCATTTGGGTTCCCGTTGGTCTCCAATTTTAGGACTGACCGGCCGTCGTGGAATTTTACAATGAAGACTTGTAATCACAATATCATGAGAAGCACTGGACGGATTTTCCTCAAATTACATGTACATAGGTGGGTTATCCTGTTTCTTTAGTTGTGTTCCATTTGATTTTGGATCTGATCGTAGTAACAAAATGGCCGACAGACGACCATCTTGGATTTGACAGGCACAGATTAATATCCGTATTTCCTGAGAGGAATATTTAGATCATTAGGAGCAAAAACAGGAAAAGGAGGGAAGATATTCAACCTTTAAAGAAAAAAATAAAGATATATTAAACAATGTTGTTAATATCGGTTTAGAGTGGAACATCGTTAATTGAAGCCAGACTGATATAAAATCGATGAAACATTAATACCTCGACACAAAATTCATGTCGAAACCTGTAAGAGTTATTGAAAACCATTAACTCGCTGTTTGTATGGCAAGTTTTGTCACAATATGAGACAATAGAAAAATCATCATTTACATCTTCCTGTGAATATATAAATGTGATTGTTAAAGTGTTGGCATTTATTCTAGACGAGAAAAATGACCTCCGGTTTATGTTTGGGAACATCGATTTACATATAAAGATGATATGATTTTGCACGAAACCTTGAAACATCCAAATATTTATGGGCTGTTTACATCTGTCGTGGGCTCTCACGTTCGTTACAGTGTAACATTCCTTTAAATCATATATAATGCACATGTATTGAATACATAGCAAAACGTTTGATTATTTCGTATTGTTGCATTCGATGAATGTTCAGATGATATAGCCTCCGTGTATTGCTTGTTGTGTTGAGTGAAACTCAGGTTCTTTTTCATCACTCATATTTTAAGTCAGCAAACAAGTTCTCTGTGGGTTTGTTTGACCAGAGTCATAACTATCTGATAACGACTGTGTATCAATACCATTGACTCGGAGATATTTTTGTGTCGTTCTTATATTGATCAGACGAACAATGCACGACAAAGTTTGGGGAATCCGACACATGCTGTTTGCTTGTAGTATTTTCAGTTTACACATCACTTGTTATTTCGGATTTAGTAATCCTACAGTCGTTACTTTGTGATAGTGATTGATGCAAACTACACGATGAGTTTGTTGTGCTAGAAGAATATCTTTCCGGTAAAGAACATGCTTTCGCATCTTTTCATGAATTATCTTCAGTTACTACTGGAGTCGATGGAAGATGGATATAAGCTACCTGAATGTAACCTGTATCCTGGTTCTTTGAAAATACGACCCGACTACTGTTTATTTGTTCAATAGCACAGCTATCGCTACTGGATACGTCATCGTGCAAACTACACGATGCGTTTGTTCTGCCAGAAGAACATCCTTCCGGTAAAGAACATTCTTTCGCATCTTTTCGTGAATGATCTCCAGTTACTACTGGAGTCGATAGAACATGGATATCAGTTACTTGAATGTAACCTGTATCCTGGTTCTTTGAAAATACGACCCGACTACTGTTTATTTGTTCAATAGCACAGCTATCGCTACTGGATACGTCATCGGATGTTGCCATGTCAGTCACCGGGGGTAGCTGCTGTATGGCATTCATTTTTATGTCAGTAGAAATCGTCAGATTGTCTTTGGTTGTTGCTAAAACATAATGATCATCACGTGAAAAATTGATGTGAGTATGTTGTTCTGAAGTTGGTGAAATGAATGTTAGTTTATCGGTAACTGTTGAAGAGAGGGTGTGGCGGCCACTGTCTGGTTCTGTGGGTATGGTTATTTCAATCTTTTCCTCGTAGCTCTGAATGTAAAGAGTATTAAAACATGTTATAAATGGTCATGATCATGATCTTATCAAGTTTACTATTTGCACAAGGGAATTTAATTTTAAACGAAATTAACGAATATGATTCAAGACATGCATTCATATACGTGTCTTCCAATACTTTTGAAAGAACTACTTTGGGCAATGTTTCAGGGGAAAAACAACAATAAATGAAAGATGTCTTTAGATAAATATGCCTGAATAATATTGTGTACTTCAGATGAAACATTGACTGCTGCAAGTGTTGACCGATCTAAATGAATGGAACATATATTTTGTCTACGATAGATTGATCTGCCAAATGTGAATGTAGAGCTTACCTCAGTCGTATCGGAGACCGGCATTTCCACGGTATCTATATTAACGTCAATATTTTTCCACTTTTTGAACGCATTGTACATCAAACTGAAATTGTGATTAAGCAACGTTGTCCAATTATTTAATTATTACTTGTTTAGCATTTTTTTGATGAATTATGTTACAAGCCATCGAATTAATCATTAAGAAGAAGAGAAAATAAGCTATTGGATTAAAAAAAAAACCCTGATATCACGAAACAAGCACTATGCATAAAGCTGAATCAGAAGTGTCGTCGAAAGACTTACTTTCAAACTTGGCTTACAGAATAGTCGATCAACATAAAACTTACTAAAGAACTGCAATCAGGAAGACAATGGCTGCAATTATACTTCCGGCAATCTTCAGAATTTCCTTTAAAGTGCTGGAACTTCTCAAACTGCTTAATGACTCTTAAAACAACAAAATACCATGTACTAAGATATCTGCTGTGTTGTGGTGTGAGTCGAGAAAGACAAAAGTGGCTAGCAATTGAGGAATTATCATTTCTTTCTGGCAAGTCTTTCAAGTCAAAATATACATTTTATCTTAAGATACTGACATGTACTCTCTTAACCATGCAAAACATTTATTGAACTTTTAGACTAATGAAACATCCTTTGTGTCTGTTTAAATGTGTCGACATGATGCTGATTTCCAGACGATTGGAAATATGGTTTTAAAACTTCAACGTGTAAAATAGCCATTTTATCATTGCAATCCCAATTCAATTAATTTAACATCTTTTCATATCGAGAAAGCGCAAGTTGAGTGGAAGGATAAGCTTACTCAGGAGGGGGTGGGGGGCACTACTCTTAAATCAGCCAAGGGTAACGAAATCCTTGATTGGCTTTAGCCCTGGTTAAGCTATGACCAATCGTTTTGAACCAATCTTTCTAAAAGATGATTTAGGTGGTTAATCAAAAGCCAGAGTAGTTTCCACTCCAACATTTTGATTTTGCCGTTGATGCCTCGCAAAGCACAAATTCAAAGGGTAAAAGCAATCGAGATATTAACGGATGACCATAGCTAAACTGTTGTCGGACGGCATTTCAGTGTTACCCAGTGTCCAATTAATCGTCTCTTAACACGCATTTGTGGTTCTATATCAGTTTCTTATCGCCGGTGCGGTTGTTCAAGTATGACGGCCACACAGCAATAAAACGACGGTAATTCGATCGTTGCAGCTACAGGACAGATTCAAGACTGCTACAGAGACTGCATTGCATACCTTATTTACTCAAGGTCGACCTTTCAGTGCTCACACTGCTAGGAATCGTTCGCGCGCCGACCTTATAAGGGACCTCGCACACCATGCGTTATGAATGGTCGCGCAGATATGGTACGAATAGATCTGAGATGTGTCTCAGAGAGAAAACAATTATTAGAGCATTGACAGAAGAACAGAACAGCAATCTCCTGATGCAAATTAACGTTATTATGAATTCAATACACTAGAGTATCCATGGAAGAGTTCGTGCAAGAGGTGCACACATCGGGTACTGAAGTGTTATTTGTTAAATGTAGACTTGTTCCCTTATATTAGCATCAAATTTTGTATAATCAGCCCGAACAACCATCAGTTCATAATTGCACAACTTAATTAAGTTTTTTGTCGAGTATACTTGTAAAAGAAACAGGGTACACAATTAACATGTTATTTATAGAAACATTGGCCATGAATTGAAGTACTGGCCAGTCTTATGTATTGCGTTTATAGCGTAACATAATTTTTCTACAAACCGTAAGCTTTAATTTTGATGGATACCAAGTCACTGTAGTCTGATTGTCGATCACCAGAGTAAATAATCTTGTACTTTACAGAGTAGTTTGTCTCTCCATTTAAGCCCAGCTGCTTGGCGCTGAAGGTTGTCTTTAAACTTGCAGGAATGGAGATATTTTGTTCTGTAACTGACAAATTTAACTCATTAGTTATATATTCATCTTGAACATTAAATATCTGACTGAATTTGATATCTTTTTTCTTCCCGACTCATGCATAATTTTGTGTCAGACAACATGTACGTGTATCTTCATCTTAAAACATTCCTCTTATAAACTTTAAAATATCAACATATTTTAACAGATATGTGTCATTGATATGACTAAATAAAAAAAATCACAGACTGAAAAAAGCTTCTTCAATGATTTCGCAAAGCATTCCTTCATCAGTTCCATTCATAGTTTTGTTATAAAGACATGTGATGTTTAAAGTAAAGACTTTGGTCACATAAACTAGAAACAGAAACGGCCGTTCTGCCTAGTTTGATAACATGCCCATTGGCTAATGTCAAGGTCTCGATTTGATACAGAACATCAAGGGGAACATTTAGTTCCGGAGAAGATACACTTCAATATGACAGATATAAAATGCTTTATAACATATTGTTCTAAAGAAAAGCAGTGCATGTCTTAGTTATATTGTTATTATGTTACCATTTACTTACCTGTATCTTTGTTAATATTATAATACAGTACGAGGTATGATATAGGTCTTGGTCCTTTCTGTAACTCTTTTGAACAAAATGGCACGGTGAATTCGTTCCCTGATACAGTGATACGGTCAGGTTTCTGTGGTGGTTGTCCATCTTTTGTTACAAACATTACGAAACGATTATCAAGCAGACAGGACTGTTTATCAAGTTAAGGCACAGTCTCACACGAATTACATATTCAGGTAAATCAAACTAAATAAAAGAATAGTACTGTAAGTCAATGAGTATGTACTCTTGCAAAATAGAAAATTAAAATAAAGATGACGAGGAAAATTAATTCCTAGTTGTTTGCTGATCATCATATACGGTATATTACTGTGGCCCGAATTTGATACTACGATATCTACTTACTTGCAAAGACACAGTCTTGCCATCGAATTCCAGTATTTTCTTGCGACACACCGAAATACCACGACAACCCATTGTGTTCCTCCAGTGGAGTAATATATGACTGTGTAAGTGTTGATTCATTAAAATTGTAGTTTTCCTGAAAAAAAAGAATGTTTTACTGCAAGTGATATTTTAGACTTAAAATATACAAACTTAGAATGTTTCGAGAAGGATTGTCTTGGCATATCAGAACACATTATCTATAAAACCTTAAGAGAGACGTGAATCTTCCCTCTTTATGATTATCACTTCTAAACTTACCAGGCATGTTACGTAGTCTTTACCGTCCTGCATGCTAGGTTTGGAAAGACACCAATGGTATATACAATTTGTAAAAGTATTTGCTGGACGTTTCCATGTTACTAGGTATTTGCTGCTCAGTTTCTCGACTATCACCTCAGATATGATTGCACCTTCAAAAGTCAAACACAAAGTGTTAAATGGGAACTTTCTATGAATAAATGGAATTACGTGATTATTGACATTTCATGTGTAATGTGTCACCTTTGGTTTTTGTTGACAAAACAGTTGGTAGTTTACAAACTCTTCCAGCACAATATATGATGACTAGAATGCAATATACTCGATATATCCACACAAGGCGATTAGATAAATTCATAAGTATGTCAACTGGCATTTAAAAGATGATTGGAAAACATAGTTGTTTGACCGATATAATATGCCTACCATACACGTTATGCGATTGGTCGGCTATAACCATCATATGGAGATCGCTTCATTTGTATCAATGAGGTTCGATGTTGAATACAATTTACTCAGACTACATATGTGATATATTGTAGCATTAATGCAATTGTGGTATATTTCAATATGTTAGGAAGAATTAGACGAATTAGTTACTCATTTATCTGTGATGTAATACTAAATGGGGAGATGAACTGTAATTGTTCCGTCTTGATCTGAGATTTCGTCACTTACTTGAGGAGTTTAACACTATAAACAGCAAGGTTCCTTTCACTGAATAACCTCTTTTCGTTTGTGACCATATAGTTACTTTGTAGTTCACAGAATTGGTCAAATTGCTACTTGAAAATCTTAAAGATGTTTCGTCTTCTTTGAACGTTTTATTTAGAGACCCCATTGACGATTCGACGTGCAAAGTGTAACCAGTCAATTTTCCTTGTCTTTGGTATACACTGGGTGGCTAATGGAATAAAAGGGAATAAAGAAATTCGCAACTAAATTGTTTTAGTAAAATTATCTATGGATTAAACATATACATAGATACCTATGTGAATATTCCGTGAAGGTTTATTTGCAGAATGATTTGATTTAGATACAATATGGGTATGAAAGAAGTAAACCTGATTGTATTTGTAATCATGGCGTTGACCATGTCGTGAAACCATAACATTATTGATTAAATGTCACTCTGATATAGATCATATGTGCAAAGAAAAGTAAATATTACCAACCTTAATATATATTATAACATCTGTATACCAAACTGAATAGGATTGGTTACTTGTCAAAGGCCCGACTAACGGTACTGTTGAAAAAATAAAAGCATTGAGTAATTTGAAACATGTCAATATATCTTGACGATAGAGATACAAACGGGAGCTACCAGGTAACATGACGTTATTGCATCTAAATGAACACCATGCGTCCTTATCTTTTTTACCCATAACAATACAGAATATTAGTTACAGTTACTTAACGATTTTCTTTGTTTTAATATGCGAATGGTTATAATTAATATGTAATAAGAAAATATGTCGAATAAAAATGTATACTTTAACAAATTAGAAAAGGTTATCAAGTCACCTTGTCGAACAAGGTTGATTATGTGTTGTGTAGGAATCTCTGAATTAGTTGTTAACATTTTAATAAAATCAGTCAATTTATTGGCTATTGTCATGATCCAAAGCAACACTAGGTGAGGATGTAAGATGGTTTGGGCGTAGCAAAAAAGCTATGTAATTCATGGCAACGTTTTTATGCAATCACTTTAACATTTGACCGTCCATGGAGTAACTGACCACGAGTTACCACCCCTTGTGAAGACCGTCTTATACTGCTGCAACAGCAGCGGGATCGCTTTCTTAACTGTAAATGTAACGGCGTGGTCGACAGGTAAGCAGCCAGACCATTCGTAACAGGCTGAAGGCGACATGTTCGCACCAAATGCCTTGATTAGGTCTTATGGCGATTTTCATAGCCAATGATGATCAAACACGTTATTATCATGTTCTTAGAGACATGACCACCACATTACACAAAAGCCCATTAACAAATTTCGGACGGCATTTAAACGTCCATGAACAGTACGAAGACTGAACCATCTGACTCCGCATTTCGCATATTTCAATGAAATCTGACAGATGTCGCCGATACAAATCTTTATTTTTCATTTGTTAATTATGTTATTCAGGAAAGTAATGTTTTAGTTGCAATATGCATACGATGACAAAATACGTTTGTTTGCCCATACATGTTATTTAAACAACCTTACTACATATGAAAAAAGAGCTTACCATCCTCTGGTGTAGTGAAGTTGTAAACAATAGGGTTTGCCCAATAACGACTTTCTCTGACCTGACACATCAAAGACACACTGTACAATGTGTACGGATGACACTTGTCCAGACGATGACAAATCTTCGTTCCAGTAGTGTAAACCTAGATACAAAACGGTAGTAATTCCAGAGTTATTTTTTATTGATATTATATATCGGTTCAATTGACAATTTGACTTTTACCCCTTTTCTAGTTCATTTGCTTCGGATTAATATAACTGATAATACTTACTTTATTGATGGAGTTTGAACTGTATATTGACTCGGTCGTTATATTACATTCGATACCATTTTGAAACCCATCTGCTTTCCATGGAGATTCACACCATACTTTTGCAATTGTGCTTCCGTTAAAATCATGACTGCAATCTGATAGGTCGTCAAGTTTAACTGAAAAAAGAAGAAACGGCATATTGTAACAAACTTATGACTGGATCTACAACATTCTTTTATTTTTGTTTTGTTTGACTAATCTTGTCATCCGATGGTTGTCCTAACTTACCGCTGCTATAAGGAAACTTGAGGGAGGACACGAGGTGCTAACTACGAGTTTGTAATCTTTTCAACTACATTAAAAGCTTTTTTAAACTTACGCACCTACATGTGTTTCGTTTAGGTCATTAATTGGGGCGTAATGATATGATCATTAGAGGAATCTCATTAGCTAATATGTAAAACTGGCAACTTCAGAAATTCATGGAAATTTTATAATTAATAATAAATCATAATTCCTTGTATCGAACAATTGGTATGTAAATTTCCAAACGAAAAAGAAAATAAATACAATAAATAAATGAAAAAAAATGGAAATATTAAATACAGATACAACCTGAACTGCTTATTTGGAGTTTTACTTTCTGTGAAGCACTCTTTAGGTCAAAAGTTCAAGTCATCAGCCAATCAAAACACGTTAAAGTGTACAAAGCCACACAAATGAATATCATAATTTGATTCGAATATTTGAATAAGGTAGAGTGTAGCCAAACAATTAACTTATCTGCATCATACAGCTGTTTCAAAAGACTATTCATCTATAGTCTAGATTTAAAACTTAGGTGCCGACTGAGGAAAATTCACAGTGATCGAAAGAAATGTAAAAAATTAGATGGGCCTTGGGCCCTTTATGGTAGAAAGATTATTGCATACTTAGTTGCGACTAAATGAAATACACTACACCTTGTACAGAAACAAATATAAAGTCATTTGTAAGGATCACTAATGAGAGAAATAATGAATATTTTCATTTCAACAAATTTTATTGACAAAGATAGTACAGTCAATGTGTATTGAAGAAGAGGCAAAGCCTATATAAATTCTCTCCACGAAGCTAAAGTTAACAAAGTTTAAGAGTAATGATGTAAATTATATAATTAGAAATGAAAGTGAATTTATAAACACAGAAGGCAAAAAAAAACAAGGAAAAACAAATAAAGGGAGATAACTCTCACACATCTCGCATACAATATGCACAATATATATATATGTGTGTATATAGTATACAGCAACCTACAGCTGTATACACTTGCAATAACACATATCAATGATAGATTTTATATCAAATAGATTGACAGGTCGGCATGAAATATTGAGTAAAGCATGATAAAATAACATATTTGCACATCATCCTGGCTATGTGTAGTTAAGATATAAAGAAGTTAAACCTTCTGGTCTGTCCAATACACAGCTGAACAGCTTCAAGTATATTTTTATTATTAAGCTCGTTAAAAGCAGAACAGCCTTGGAGAAGAGTAGTTAAATTTACGTGATTATGATGATTATTAGAAACAAATAATACATTTCTTTGCCAAGCATACAAAGGATAATTCAGGAAGTAACGAGAAACTGTTTCATTTTCATATGAACAAGCACAAGAAGGATTATCCACAAGATGATCACAATATAAATCATAATTTAAATTACTGCGTAATTGACAGAGAACAATATTAGCTCGTCTATTGCCTTCAATTTTGAAAACAGTTGAAGATATACATTCATTATTTAAGTCTTTGTTCAGATATGTCTTTAAAGCAGCAAGTGACGGAGAGTTAAGTATGTTAGGATTAACTGTGTTAAATTCGAGGCACATGCTAGGGAAGAAGCTGTTAAAGTAATTATTAGTTTGGCACAGAAGAGGATTAAAAAGCCTAGGATGTCTTAGTGGATAGGGGTTGACAACATTACTATTAGTGGGGGGATTTAAAACATCTAGCAAGTATTGAGGTGTCTGACCATGTATAATTTTGTACATCATTATTTGTTTGTGTTTTTGTCTTCTTACAGCTAGTGTTTCCCTACCCAGTTCTTTATATAATTTTTCATGTGATGTCCCTGATCGCATACCTGTGATAATTCTTGCAGCTTCTAATTGAATGGATTCTAAAAATTTGTTTTCTTGTTGTGTACAATTGTCCCATATAATATCTGCATATTCCATAATAGGTCTAATAAATGCTGTATAAATTCTAATTAATGATTTTCTACTTACAGTTTTTTTGATATAACGAAGAATGTTGAGTCTATTGTATGCTTTTTTATGTATATTTTGAATGTGTTGTTTCCATGTTGCATCTTCTGAAAAGTAAGCCCTAAGTGTTGGTGTAATGACTGTTCTGTTATTTGGCTGTTTTGAAAGAAAAGTGGGGGTGGTTGGTATTCTGTTTCCTGGAAAAGAGGACAGAGTTAGTTTTATTAGCATTAAAGTTAATATCCCAGATTTTAGCCAATTCATCAATATATGAGAAATATCTGCGTTAAGAGATTGTGTTGCCTGTGCTGGGTTGTCATCTATGATTATGTATAGGGATGTGTCATCAGTAAATAGTTTAATATTAGTTGTTATGTTTGAGGTAATGTCATTTATGTAGAGATGAAATAATAGGGGACCAAGAACTGAGCCGTGTGGCACTTCTGCATTTACAATTTTAAACTGTAAAAAATAACCCTCTGTATTAACTCTTTGTAAACTGTCAGAAAGATAGTTATTGAGCCACCAAAGTAAGTTTCCATCAATGCTATATAATGTAAGCTTGTGTAAAAGACCTTCATGCCATACTCTATCAAATGCCTTACTGATATCACAGAAAACAAATCGGAGTTCTTTACCTTTATCTTTATTGCTTACAATTTCATTATAAATAAATAGAAGCTGGTTAACTGTAGAGTCACCAGGAGTAAAACCAGATTGATTCTTTGTAATGAAACTGTGTTCAATGAGAAAATTATAAAGATATTTAAAAATGATTTTTTCAATCAATTTATTGAGGCATGTAGTGATCGAAATAGGTCTATAATTTGTGACATTTTTAGCTGACCCTTTATCTTTATAAATAACATTAACATTGGTTTGTTTCCAGCTTATTGGTATTACCCCAGTTTCCAATGTTTTATTAAATAGTAGCATTGAGGGCAATTTTAGAGATGCATGAAGGTTTTTCACACTCTTGGGAATGACACCATCAGGACGTGGAGGTTTATTAATTTTTTAGATTATTAATTTGGTCTGAGACATCTTGTTCAGTAATATGAATATTTGTTAATATATTGGGTATGTTAGGTTGAGGTATTTGAGGGAGTTGAAGATCCGGTGAGGAAGTTGAGATATTGGTAAAGTGGTTATTAAGAAGTTCAGCCTTGTCAGTAGGATGGTGGTGTATTTGATTATCAGATTGTAAGGGAGGGATAGAGGCAGATTTATTTGAAAACTTAGTTATAGATTTAGCTATTTTCCACCATTTATCAGGACTAATATTTTCTTCTAAAGAATTCTGAAGTTTTTTAATATAGTTTGCCTTTGCCTCACGTATCAGGTCAATAATCTCATTACGTATATTTCGAAACCTTTCCCAATAATAAGCAGTGTTTATCAATTTGGCTTTTTTATGTATTCGATTACGCTGTCTCATTTTGGATCTAATTATGTTGTTCATCCATGGTTTATCATTGGGATGCACAGTGACAGTTTTAATAGGAATGAATCTGTTTACCTGATCCGTGATTGCATCAATAATAGAAGAATTAAATGTATTTGAATCTTAATAAAATAATGAATATAAGAATAAGAATATTTGGGTAGTCTCAACCTTCATACCATTCCTACGGAAATGATAGCAGTAATGAAGAATTGGAGTATCGAAATATACCATAGGATTTTTTTGTGTTTTTTTTTTACTAAACTAATTTCGGATATTTCTTTTGATCAGTATTTGCTTTTCCTCGATCTTTTCTTAGGGTTCAACAGTCTCGGAAGGATGAAAGAGCTGTTTGAAGTTGACTTTATTATTTGTTTTTACAGTATCTAATTTTGACCTTGTATTGATTTGTGTTATTCACTAATGTATATTTCATAATACCTTGAACAATTAGGCGATTACGGTATATATATTCTTAATTGAAATTGATTTGTCTTTGTTAATATTTTCTTTTGAAATTGAAATTATCTACGAGCCCGTAAGGATACGATGTACTTAGATAAGAAACAGAATGAATTTTAGAGAGACTACTGTAGCTAGAGTGATATTAGTTAAGTCAACTTACTGGCATAAATAGCATTGAAGCTGTAGTGGTAGTTTGATGCTCCAAAGACCCCTGTTCCTGTCAGGTTGAAATTATAAACGACACCCAACGACGGCGGTGATTGCAGCCTCCAAACATTTTTTATACATGTGTTTCCTTCGTTGCGAACGTACAAAGCACACGGACTCTCACAATCGTGTACGATAGGAGTCCTCTCCGAATCACACTCTATTTGGTTTAATGGATCGGATCTACAATATATATATATAGATTTATTTATTTTCCAACCCATTATCACTAATAACAAAAATAACTTTTTGGTGAAGTACCCATACCCTAAAAGATACATAGTATGATAAGTATGATAATATTTTGTTCTTACAATCTTGTATATAACAAACGAAAACGTAAATTTGATTTGGGATTTGTAAATTTGCTATTGATATCTTACTTACAAACTGTCTGAATAGATGGATAGTTTTTTTATCAATCGTCCTCATTTTCTCTGATATAATGATTCATTCTGTTTAGTATTTCTGTCAAAGAGTATAGGAAACACGTACCTCAATGTAGGACGATCAGGTTTAGTCTCATACTGTAAGGACCAGTTGACACATTTCTCTTTGCTAGTCCAAGTGCATTCCATGCCTTGACTAATTCTTATTACGCATTCAAAATCTGTCGGCCTAGGCGGCGCTTCTGTTAAAGGGTAAAAAAACTACACTATATCCTATCTTCAATATTTGAAAGAAAACCGAAATCTCAAACGTATTAAATACGTGGTGGAAGTATCATGTTGTGTAATCAGTATGATGAAAAAATTATTCAATCAATCAATCAATCAATCAACCAACCAACCTATCAACCAACCAATAAATCAATCAATCAACCAATCATTCAATCGATGTAGGCTGCTAATTTCTATATATAAATGATGAACTTACAACTGTTAAATAATAAGTTAAGTGTAGATCAGTTTTACGTTTTTCATATTCCATTATGCTATCAAAATCAGTTCCTGGTACCCTTACTGCCTCTTTTTTTTATATTTTGTATCAATTAAATACACTCACTTCGGATGATAAAGTAGAGTCGAGTACAATTAGAATGCAGACAACAATGGTACCAAGCTGTATCATTTTCAGTTACAGTTGGTATCAAAACACTCATTCCTTGATCAGAAGTTGATATATCTATAGTTCTGATCTCCGTTGAATTCCTTTTTAGATGTAATGTTTTGTTGGTTGTTATTCCTCTTGGGAGCAAACTTGGGTTAAGTGTACAGTTGATGATAAGATCAAATCCCTCTTCAAGACAGCACGAGTTGGTGTTCGAGCTTATATCTGTCGATAAATAATATCAAAGTTAGGGAGGTTTTGGTGGCAGGGCACCGATGAAATATGACCAAAAACACATAATAGAATAATGATAGAATGACAATGTATCTATTAATGGCTGGTTGGTTGAGAGTTAATGTTTGTATCATAAAACTGTGAAACATATATGGTCATGTTACAATTTCTTAGAACTTACTAATTTTCCAGAAACATTTGTGAAAAGCACTACCTACACGTTGTTTGAATCAATGAAGATGTCACAGATTGGCTGGACATGACAAGGCTCCAGCACATCAGATTGAAGAAAATTCTATCCATGAACAAGGTAAGCTATATCAATAGAAATGAATTAAGCATGGATTACTATTCATATCATATCAAAATTTATGATAACGATGTTCATGGTGTAAACATATATTACCTAGTGATACTTAGTAATCGTTGTCTTCATTGGCACATAATCAAAGAAACGTCTGGTGCTTTTTAAAATAACCAACAGTTTCATCAATTGGAATTTTTTCAAAGTGTTGTCCTAAATGATATTGCAAACGGAAACATTGGTTACATTCATATCACAACGATATACCTGAGATTGCATCTGTTCGTTTCTATTCACTTTGAACGCATGCTCACTTTTGGATTGTTTTCAGGAAATTCATCTGCAAAATGGATAGAAAAAAGCACAATACGTCACAGGTAATGTTTTGTTGAATATGACGTGATCAGCAAGAGAACTTACCTGACCTGTAAAAGAATATACCGACTATGCTTCAAGTTACTGTTTCATTTTAGAAATGTATTACATAAACATACCATAAACAGGAACACCATATATATTTCATAGCTTTAACCAAGATCCTGATGATATTTATAGAGAATCGATCCTTAAATTGTGATTTGTCACATAGTTGCTTTTATATCACTCATGTAGATCTTGTATTATTCAACTTATAACCATTGCCGGTTATTTAAATATTATAATTTTATCATCAACTACGTTTAAAATTACCCTCGTGACGTTTTATTAATACATATTGTGATGAAACATAGCTAACACAGTAGGATTTCACGCTTATATTTATAATACATCTAAACAAATATAAAAAACTCAAATCAAATGCACTAAAACAAGGGAAATTATGTACATGGAGAACACGGCCGGAAGAGTGAACATCTTCTGATTCATTGTTGACACCCGCCATGAAAATCCTTGTCAATCCAAGTAGGTAATGGCAGGCTCTCAAATGAGAACATGGTTTACAATAACGGAACCCACAGGAAAACTAACGAGCATCAAACGTTTCCTTCCAGCTTCATATCGTACAGAGAAATAGAATATTTCTCAATGAGATTACTATGACGACCGTAAACCTACCTTAAGAATTTCAACAGCCTGCATCGTTTAAAAACACGTGTTACGTGTCTGCCCGTCATTTAATGACGAATCATAACAAGACGTAAACCATGTAAGTTATTATAAAATATTTTGCTGCTTTCATGACATTGATGGCTTGGTAATAAACTTACAGAGGGCAATAGAATTTGAATAGAAAAGGAATAGGTCGATATATAGATATCATCACCTCTAATTACTAAAGGTCTTCGGAGATAACAATCATGAGACGGCAACATTCTTTCTGTCCGACTGAACAACATTTTTCTCTTTCTTTCATTGTGCTGTTGATGCTGCTGGTGTAATTTAAAAAGTCTAGATATCATTGAAATGTAGTTATCGTTATATTGTATGATGATCTCGTTTCCATCATTTCAAAATAGAATGCGTTTTTATATCAAGCTAAGGAGAGATTGTTGCCCTGAAATTATCAGAACTAAGGTTTCGTGAGTACTATTGTTATAATTCTAGCACTCATTTTTATTCTGAAAGCTATTACATCCTTGGCTCCATGGAGAAAGTTTACAGACGTCAGATTTAAATCTAAATAAAGAATATAGAAAAGCCGTTTTGTACACATCAAATTATTTTACCGACACGGACACAATAGCATACCTAACTAGATTTTCAAAGCATATGCTCGAAGGGAATAAAAATACAAAACAACATGAGTGAATTACTAACCTACTGCAAGTACTTGAAGCCACGTTTCTTTGTTACATGGTATGTATGGTTAGTTTTGCTCATATCCATGATCTTCAAAGCTGACCAAGAATTACGATAGAGATATCTTTATCATGCAATTTCTGTTGTTTGAACTTTCAAAGATGTTAAGAGATTAATACACATACATAACAATATCCAACTTTCAAAATTACTGAACGAGCGTTTCAACAAGGAGTCAAGTGCTGAAAAGAATTTGTACGTACTGCGAGACACTAGATACCCAGATTTTGTGTTATCGCATACATGCATTGATATGTTGTCGTTACAAAGGTTACAGGAAGTAACACCGTTATCCGTCAAACTCAACTTTAATCTTGACCCATCGATAAACATACAAAGGGTTATATCCGATACCGTTCACTGCTAACACATATTACACAACGCCAGCGTTTATCTGTAACTTTATTTGGTACATACATTAATGTAGGATAATATTATGTTAGTTTAGTATGATTCATATTGCTCCACAAAAATTTGAAATGTATGCTTTTGTACTTAAATAATGAAAAAAAGGACGAAAATCAGTTGCTTATACAATATATCTGTACATAATTCTATAATATTCAATACGAAGGACAATTTATCAGAACTCCAATTAGGTAAAATTGTTTCAAATGATATTTCAAAGGGTCAAAGATATAATGTAAGGACAGAAGTTATCGTTAGTAGCATACGTTCTGGAAATCCTGGTTTATCATGGCAATTAAGATATACAGATGGGCTTAATAATACACCGAACAATGCGTTTGAAGAATTATATAATGTTCAGATGAATTTATTTTTTTTTTATCTTGAAACATGTTGTTTAAGAAAACGGTTCGGAAAGGAGGAGGTGCGTTAGAAGGACCTTTTTAATCCGTGGTTAAACCTCACATAATTACTGTGATGCGATATGTTAATTCAAAATAAATACCACGCCAATAAAATGTATGTGATGTCTTTGCCTTACTACCATTACACTTACGGCGTATTTGGTGTGGTACATACTTAATCTAATGTCAGGCAGCACGGACATGATTTAGCTTGAGTGTTAATACCGCCTATTTTTATTGTTAATATGTAATTGTTGATAGTATTATTGTTGTACAATCAAGGTTTTTGCATATTGCTGTATGATCTTTGAGTTAACATAGGTTTTCCTTATTTCGCTTACTGAATGATTTGATATTATCCCACACAATGCTACGTCATTTCTGATTATGATATATTTCCTCGCATTTATCTGAAAATATACCCGATATACGTCACTAATTTTATGAAATACACAAAATCAGCAAATGTTTCCAAACTGTCAAGATTTATTACATATATATAATGCAACTAAACAAGTTCGCTTGCTGGCTTGCAATGGTTTAAACGAAATGGAAATGTATTTATTTCAATATTTCGTTAAATGAATTATTTTCAAAATACATCAAGCTTGCGTCAGTATTTTTTCTTTTCTGAAATAGTCCTAAACATTTTCATTTTTCGGTACCGGTTAATTGAGATACAAACTTAAATCAGTAAAGTGAATTACTTACCATTCCATAAAGCAACTACTTTTTTGTGGCACCGTGAAATTAAATCCGGTTGATCTGTAGGTGTTACGTGTCAATGTTATAGACATATTTTTGAAACGAGGGCGAAAGTTCAATTTAATATTGCCACTTACATCACATGCACTGATAAATAACAACAAGTGATACGAAGTAGTAGAAGAGTGGTGTTGGATACTGATAAAATTATGAAAATGATAATACGAAGATAATACCGTTCTTACTGCGCAGTATAATCTACTATAGTCGTCTAGTGAAGCTGTGACCTGTAATATGTGTATAAGGTGATTTATCTTGTTCTGGTTTATAAAACTCTGTTATCATTAAATGAAAATATAACTATTGTTAACATTTTTCTGCACTTGCATCGACGTGAAGTTACATCGGCGGAATATTTTACTTAGTGGCGTTACTCCGATGTAAATGCACTTCGATGCAGGTACAGGAAAAAAACTTTAAATTCTAAATATATAACCTAAATTACATATACTTATTCATTTATCAGTCTTATTATTTCAAATATACTATTTGTACTTCAGTAGTGGTTATCACAATAAAGAACTCTTTTGACTTAAAGGTGATAAAAGGCATGTCAATGGGACATATCTATTAACAATCAAGCATCAAAGGCAAATATCAAACTACTTGTACTGTTCATCTGTCTCAATCTAAGCAGGATAGGTCTCTATATATTCACGAATAATGAAGAACAACAAAGTGAAGAATGTTCGATCAAGTGTTTCTTTTACTTTGGTTTGGAGTATAATTTAAACGTTACTGTCTGACTGCAGAAAGGTACTTTTTTTGATTTGTTACCGTTAAAAAATGGGAAAGATTTGGTTTGTTGTCTTTCAGACACATTTCCCTCAGCTACACTAAGTCATTTGCCCCGTAATCTCATGGTTTATAAACGAGATGTGAGTCTCTTCAAGTCCGGCATATGATATTCAAAACGGGTAAATAACTCCTCCTTAATAACGAAAGTTCCTACTGGAGACAATATTGCATAGAAACTTTGTAAGTGAACACACATATCCAAGTAAAGCGCATTAAGCAACATTTTTTCTCTTTTTTTTTCACAGACAGAAAACTAAATGTGCATGTAGTGAGAGATAAATCTGAGAATTATAGTGCCATTCTATCTGTATTGTCATGATTGTTTATTGTCACATCAATGAAATGCATAATAGTTAATTTTTAATCTTGCTGTTCACATGTTTGTATTGAATTATCAACATTAGACATTCATATGCATATTTATCAGAAACTTTGCTTGTAAGAAAAATAGATCTCGTGATGCTCTCTTCGATGAATTGTCTGGTCTGAAGACTGAGCAGTATCTCCTGGAACACACGCCACATAGTTCGATGAATTCTTTCTTTTGATCACCATTTTCTTCTTCGGATATTTTTCTTGGCAGAATTCCGAGTCAGAAAGATCTTTTGAGAGTTCACAAATGCAAATTGTTTCATTTCCGTCCACTTTGGTTTCATGTTTCCCCGTGTTTTCGTCAGTTTTTCTTGGTGATGTCTATAGATCGGATTAAAGTGAGAAAAAACTATTATTTCAAATACGTTATCTACAACACACACTTGCATTACTTGAAATAAAAAGCATAGCCCTTCTCTTCTGTCTTTATTTCTTAATTAGCTATAAGTTTTCTCATTACAAAATATGTGTCATGTTTTAAATATGGGAGGTGAAAGGTAATGATCCCTACTTTAACATTTCTATTTTCCTTGCCGGTTTGGCAAACTTATTGATAATACAATGAGGTAAAGAATCGGTTAACGGAATTATCTTCTAGATACAAACAATATTCGATATATTTGACTACCTTTGTTTCTGCGTTCTCAGTTTCGAATTTATTTGCTATTTCGTCAAGCGTACAGGCTAAGGAGATGCCGTCTTCCTAAAGATAAGCATATTGCTGTTTTAAAATAATGCCAATAGTTGTTGCCTGTGGTGTATGATTTCGGCTTCAAATAAAAAAGAATAAAATAAGTGAATATATAGTGATATTGATGAAACTCGACTAATGAATATTTATATATTTAAGTTTAAGCGATATGCCCAGGCCCTCGTATGCTACAAACTATTTCAGCTTGGTGCAAAATACAAATATCAATGATATCATTATAATCCGTCTGTGTTTATTACAATTTCACAGGAACTATTAGTCAAAAGCTGCATGTAGCAGCTAGTTGATATTTTTACCATTGTTTGGCAGTGGAGAGCACAATTTTACACATCGTTTCTTATCGTCTCCGTAAAAAGAGGGTGCAATAAGGGAAATAGAGCAATTTTGTAATGATTTTCCCTAAATTTTGTCTGAAGCATGCATAGGTGAAGGGGAATCAGTTTTGTATTAATGAATGGTCTCTGTTCGTCGTTGTGGGAGGAGCGTAACGCAATAGTGAAAATAGGGCAAATTATGCAAACCCTTCTTCTGTCGGAACTGAATACATCCTTTTGGAAGAGAACTTTGTTTTGTACAAACACCTTTAGGAGGAAGGGAAACATATTATGGGGTACCGGATACAAGTGTTTTTCTTAAATTAATTTCAGCAAACTAAATCAGGGAGCGATACATGCGCCATGGGCATATTGCTTAACTTGTTCTTATTTGGGATTGTGACATTACTTGGCTGGATTGACGAATATTCGCATAGCATTTATCGTCGATGAAACAGAAGACGATTACCTTCCGACATACCTGGACTTTTATTTTTTTAGGGATTCCATAAAATCTTTCTTGACATGTCGGTATTATCTTGCATCTATAACCTATGGTGTTTAGATATCGCTGTTGATCCGATATTCAAGGGCCCGATACAATCATTGCGATTTTCGTGCAAGAAGTCGCCACTGACAGACAAACTCGTAACACAGGGTTTCAAAGATTTAGGTTGATGTAAATTATGGGGAAGTTTTAAGTGTCATCTTTAAGAATTATCATATTTCTTTGTTCGATATGAGGCATGAAGCAGAAGACGCTTATTCTTCCGGAGGAATACCTATTCTTATTCTCCTTGAATGTTTTCAGTGGTCTCCGTGTTTATCCTTTCTTTGTTCCTATTTTCCCCTAGGTTTATTGAATTTGAGTTATTATGATTATGTTGACACGCTGGTATTTTCTTGTTTATCATTGTTACCTTTCCCTCGGCGATATCCTTGTCTTCGTCCGTGTCTTCGAACTCTTGATTAGATATCATCGTATTTACTTCACAGCATGTGCTGTCGCTTTGATTTAGACAACTATATCCAGTATTTCTGATCATCTCGCCTGTTTGCATTTTCATTGAGAACGGTTGAATATCATATTCAACTTCTAAAGCCTGAAAATATTAAACGTGATATATATAACACTTACGTACTGTCCAGCGAAAAGAAACCATTTTGTTCATATGAGTTGTACAGGTATGGTTGTGTTTATTCAAATATCGTGTTTGAATTCATATAAATAAAAAACCGATAATATTGTATAAA